TCAGTAAACAACTTTGCGCCCTCCTCCCAAGACATGTTTGCTATTCCAAGTGACACCAAGCATAGACAGACCTATAGATTCTAGGGATATTGTTAAATATCCTGTGGGCACAGGACAGTCCCCAGGAGTGATCTCATGCAAGTCTTACTGGTGCAGAGGTGAGAAACCTTGATGTGACTCCTGCCTGTCTCCACTGTGGTGTTGAGTGTCAACAGGAGAGTTCCTCCATGCCAAGAATCTATGCCTAGGCTTGTTTCAAGGCATCCTCCTAGTAGACAAAAGGCTCTTGAAGTACCGCGGGCCTGAGGCCTTTCTAGCAGTGAAAAAGATGGCCTTGTTTCCACTCTACACATCAAGCAGAAAGGCTCTATTGTGCTGGATGAGGCTGAGCAACTTTGGCAACAGTGGAAAAAAGAGTATGTTGTTCTCTGTACCTTACAGGCTAGCACTTGTCTGTCTGCCTCATGTGTGTGTCATTCTCCTAGACCCTCATTACATGACACTGCGCACCAGAGTAAATGACCACATTTGTAACATGTTTTAATATATATTCATTTTCAGGAATGATGGTTAGTGCATTTTACTTTCCTCAACACTTCTTTAACCTGAGCTCCGTCATCCTTTTTTCTCCAAGCCTAGAATTTGAATGTTTGTCTTAATTTCTCTTTTCCTTCCAATATGTTCTAGTGTGGGAATTAGAGATTTAACTAACTAGCAATTAAATAGGCTCTCTCCTAACCCTTTAATGTCTTGTTTTCCAAGATGTCTCTTGTCTCTGAGCATGTTAGACTTGCCTCAATCCTTGTCCCTGCCCTGGATGCCTTTCCATTCTCACCTCCCTGCCTCTGCCAACAATATTGTCTACCTCTAAAACCACTCAGCTTCACAGCTTTCCTCCTAGACTCTAGCATCTGATTGTTGGAGACTGGAGCATTTTTTCCCTTCAACTTTGCTTCATTCAAGATGTATTGTCATGTGCTGTGTACATTATGTGCTAGTCTCTATTTTGGGGAGAAGAAAAATGAGAGGAATGACCCCAGTTTTCCAACTTTATCTTATGTGAGAATGGCAGAAGCAACCTAAGATGTGAACTATGCCTACCAGAGAAGCCTGGTTTCTGACAAACATTTTGAAAGTTGTCCGTTAACATGGACTACGTATGTTTCAAAGAAGATTTTGTTGTTTGGAGACTCACTCTCCGTTTAGAGCTGTCATTTTTGGGGTAAATTCTGGTTGATGCCACTTATTTATGCAACTCTTATTTTAGAAACAGGAGATGGACACCGATGAATAAAATGCAACTAGTACCTAATTAGAAAGCATTCTCACAAAAGGCAGTTTTTTGTAGAAGTTTTTGGATCTTAAGAGAAAAGGGTGATGAACCTCATACGCCTCGCATTGTGCTTCAAAACTTTTCTGGCTTCTTGTTGCTCATAGCAGTGATTAAAGCTTGAGGAATGTAAGAATTCCTTTTAAGGGAAATAATTTATCTTAGATCTGCAGTGCTGACAAATTATTTTTATAAGTTATTTAAGTATGCACAATAAAGTTGAAATTTAAGTTGCTATATAAAATTTGTGTACAAATACATGCAAAAACAAAAAAAAAATTTTTTTAAAGATTTATGTATTTTCACTGCTGGTTCATTCCCCAAATGGCTGCAGTGGCTGGAGTTGAGCTGATCTGTGGCCAGAAGCCAGGAGCTTCTTCAGGGTCTGTCACACGGGTACAGGGTCTCAAGGCTTTGGGCTGTCCTGGAGTACTTTCCAAGGTCTCAAGCAGGGAGTTGGATGAGAAGTGGAGCAGCTGGGACTTGAACCAGCGCCCATATGGGATACTGTGCTTGGAGGTAGGGGATTATCCAACAGAGCCATTGTGTCAGCTCCCTAAGCAAAAGCAAATTTATTCTTTAAGTAGAAATCAACTTAAAATCCAATAAAATACCTTTTTGTTGAAACTTGGTTACTCTCAGGCTGTTTTGGTTTAGCATATCAGTATTACTGAATACCATCAGATGACTCATTCCTCATTATTTTTGTGTATTTAAGCTACTCTGAAATTCTGATTTGTCTAATATGTTATGATTTCATTTGACCATCATCTGTCTGAAACATATTCCTTCAGTCTTAAGTTCACATCAATTCCTTTATAATAGACTTTCAGGAAAGTATAGAGATAAATTTACTTTCTGTATGTCTGATCACATAAAATATTAAAATCATTTTAGGGTTTGGCATGGTAGCCTAGTAGTTAAGGTCCTTGCCTTGAATGCCAGGATCCCATATGGGCACTGGATCTGATCCCGGCAGCTTATGGCCTGTGAAAGCAATAGAAGACAACTCAGGTCCTTGGGACCGTACATCTCCCCGTGGGAGTCACAGAAGAAGCTCCTGGCTGCTGGCTTCAGGTTAGCTCAGCTCTCGCCATTGCAGTCACTTGGGGAGTGAACCAGCAGATTGAAGATCTTGTCTGTGTTTCTCCTTCTCTCTGTAAATCTGTCTTTCCAATAAAAATAAATAAATTGGGGGGGGAATAAATCTTAAAAGATTTGGATTCTCTTTCACATGATGGTTCTATTAGTGAATTAATCTATATGAGTTGCTTGAAACAGTACTTTCATCTAATAACTACTATGTAAGTGATGGCTTATATTAATATTATTGTTGTTATTATTAATATTATAGTTGAGGATCCTTTCAATCCAGGCACCAGTACAGTGGAAGAGTGTGCCTTTCCTTTCAGGTTAAGCACAGTTCCTGAAATTCAGTTTATTCAGCCTTGATCTGAGTTGTCTGTTAATCCCTGAACTGAGTGCTGTTGGCAGGAGCAAGGAATGCACTGACTGGTTTGGTTTTGGTTGTGTTCTCTAACCTTGAAAGTGCTTTTAACTTTGCCTGAAGCACCTTAGCTGCAAAACAGGGGGAAGTGGTATCTCTAATACATATTCGGAGTAATTGTTGCCACCAAAAGAGGAAGTGGAGTTTAGTGCCAAAATTACCCATGCCCAGTATGGTGCTATCAGATAGGCTGTATTAGCTGATCATGTGATACGTTACTATCTTTGCAGATGCACCAGTTGCAATAATTCTTAGAAGTTTGTATCTTTAGTAACATTTGTTTTGAAACTTTGAATTGCAATTATGAGAATGTATTTTATATAAAGACATCCATTTTGATCTCTGAAACTTTTTGTATTACAATAAATTCAAAAGAAATTATTTGTATGCAGTACATTACATCCTAAAAATTCTAGCAAATATTTTCTATAATAACTGTTTTGCAACACAATTATCAACACAAATGCAATGTGGATACTGAACTTGATGATTTGGTTTTCTGAATATTTTCTTACTTTTGGCTTATCTTCAGAATAAAAATATAAATATGAGACATTGTTTTAGTACATTGGTTTGACTGTGGTATCTGATAGAACTTTCTACAATAATGGAAACATTTTATAATTTGTGTTCTCTGTTGTGGGAACCACTAACTACATTAAGCTGTTGAGCATTTGAATTATAGTTAATGCTATTAAGGAACTGGATTTTTAAAATTTAATTCACTCTTAATAAATTTATATTTAAATACTACTTGTGGCTACTGGCTAACTGCTGTTTAAACAGTACAACTCTAAATACCAATTCTAAATGAAAGAATGGCTGCCAAATGCCCAACATATTGTATACCAAGTACACACACACACACACACACACACACACACACAAACAGAAGACGAGAGGTATACATTCTGATCTTCAAGGGACTAGACTGGCTTAATATGCCGGAGTAACCCAGGCTGGCTCATTCTAGAACAGTGCTGGAGCTGTTTTAGCCAAATCTTGGCCTCAACAGGCTTCTGCTGCTGCCTTCCATTATTCTATTCTCTATGCACATTGAATTTTACACCTTTGTACTTGTCTTCATTCAATACAAAATGCTTTCTTGCTGTACACTGATGAAATCTTTTAGATGAGGTTCTCCTAAAATTTGCTACAATTTATCACCTTCTTTGAGGCTGTTCCTGAACTCTAGGCAGTTAGTCCCTTTCTTTTTTATGCTGTATGTATATTTCCTTTTTAAAAGATTTTTTAATTTTTATTGGAAAGGCAGATGTACATAGAGGAGGAGATAGGGAGGAAGATCTTCCATCTGATGATTCACTCCCCAAGTGACTGCAATGGCCGGGGCTGAGCTGATCTGAAGCCAGGTGCCAGGAACTTCTTCAGGGTCTGTCACACGGGTACAGGGTCCCAAGGCTTTGGGCAGTCCTTAACTACTTTCCCAGGCCATAAGCAGGAAACTGCTGGATTAGAACCGAAGCCTATATTGGATCCCAGCATGTTCAAGGCGAGGACTTTAGGTGCTAGGCTATAGTACTGGGTCTTGTATGTATATTTCTTTATTAGAGTCCGTGCTTCACAGATGTTATTTAGGTTTTAATCTCTTGCAATGGATAAGGAACTAATTTCCTGTAGCTTGGCACAAAGTGAGCCTTTTATGAGTGCTTAGTTGGATAGCTGGGTGATAAGACAATGATTTCTAACCCTGGTAACTTTAAAAATAAACAAAATTTTGAATAAACTTCATTGAGGCATAGTTTATGTACAAGAAGATGCACCTTTTAAATGCATCTTTTAAATGTACAGTTTGATGAATTTTGACAGATGTTGCCATTCGTGTAACCACTATTGCAGTCAAGGTATAGCATATTTTCATCACCCCAACACATTTCTTTGTGCTTCTTCCCGGTCAATCTGGTCAATCTGGTCAACTGTTGATCTGCTTTCTGTTGTTCTAGATTTACCTTGTTTAGGCCTTTATATAAATAAATTCATATAATATATGCTCCTTTCATTCTCAGTATTTTGTTGGGCATTCGGATGTCAAATACACAAATATATGTGGTAAACATTAAGATCAATATAATTATAACATAAGTGCAAGCAGTGCTTAACATTCTAGAGTCATGACTTTGTTTCTATGCTTGTTTCTTTCCACAGTATACAACTGGACCGTGGATGAGGTGGTACAATGGTTGATCACTTATGTGGAGCTGCCTCAGTATGAGGAGACTTTCCGCAAGCTGCAGCTCAGTGGCCATGCCATGCCCAGGTCAGGAATGGACTTGGTTTTTCTTACTTGAGGGTTCAAGGAAGGGCTGGGGTGGACCTGCCTTCCAGTTCCCTGGTGAGTAAATGAGATTATGACCTCTTGATGATAAAATCTATAGATATCTCTTCATCTTGCATCTATTATGTGCTTGCTGCAAAACGTGATGGACACTTTACATCCATTGTCTTATTTAATAATCTGACCAATCCTTGTAATACTATGAATAGTTACCAGTTATCCAGTGCTTAATATATACCAGGCATTCTGTTCAGCACTTTAAATACAGTTTCTCATTTAATTGTTACATCAGTCCTGTAAGGAGGGTATTATTATATTTAATCTTTCCCTGCAAGGGTTTTCTATCCAGTAAGTACTGTGTATGTACAGTCTGCCATGTTATTATGTAGTGCATCTGCTTTTGAGCTTCGGTGAAGGGATAATAGGGCAGGTGAGCTTGCAGCCACAGAGCTCCTGGGCAGTGCTTTTCAGGCCTAGCTGAGCTGGCTGTTCTCTCCTCTGGTGTTTGTAACCTCCTCTCCATGTTGTCTTTCTACTCTGGAAGAGTGATGTTTACAGTTCTGGAAGGAAGGAGTTACCATACCAGCTTTTAGGTGAACAAACTGACTTTCAACTGCTAAATGGGCCAACTGTGATTTGAACCCACGTCTGCCTGGTTTAAGTGCCCTACTTTTTCACTGCCATCTTTCTCTTACACCATATAGTTGAAGAAAGACTTTCTGTCAGGTCAATGTAGTTTTATTTAGCTAAACTTCCCAAAGCACCTACTGAGTATGTGCCAGGCGCTCTGCTGGGCCCTGAAACAAAGAAGTGCATTGAAACTGACCCCTGTCTTGATAGTTGGCTATAAATTTCCAAGACTTAATTTTTTTCTCCTGTTACTCATGGGAATAGCAGCATTTCCTGAAGCATTGCATCGTGAGGAATGGCTGTGGCCTAGATTTAAATTGGAAGGCATAGGATGTTGGTTCTTAGGCTATGAGTTCACTTAGCCTTTCTGTGGCTTAGAGCCAAGAACAGGTCCAGCCAGGCTGGGCAAAGTAGAAAATGCCAACCTGTGGCACTTTAGTGACAGCAGGAAGAGTGGACCCTTCAGTGCATGGAGTAAACTGGGAATGGTTCTAATTCTGACACTAAGTAACATGGCATCATGGGAAGAACCTAGCAGACTTGAGTTCATATCCTGGAATTGCCACTTATTTTTGTGTAACTTTCAGCAATTTAACTCTAAATTTCAATGTTCTTATCTATAAATTAAAGCTGATAATAGAATTAAGAACTGCATTCTTAAGGTTGCTGTAAAGACTAAATGAGGTATTGTGTGCAAAATACACAGTAGTCCTTTAGGAAATGCCAGCTCCTTTACCATTTCTCTCATAGCTTTGAAGTAGAAAGCATTCCCATTTATAGGTGCCTTTGGGAAATCAGCTGTAGAAAATATAATGATGCTTGTTTTGATCAAGTTCAGCATACCTGGCAGAAGCGTAGTAAAATGGAACCATCGTACCTTCTAGGCTTGTAGGAAGCATCTGATTTGAAATAAGTTGATTCACAAAGAAACTGCGGTCTTAGGGTAGGGAGTAAGCAGCTTATGATCGCACAGGTAAGTCACTGGTAGCGTGAGGATGAGAAGCTGATCAGTGCCTTGCTGCCTCTGTAGTGGGTGGATTTGTTTGCTTTCCAGGCCAGTGAAGGTAGTAGTTACTTTTGCATGCTCAGACTAGATTATAAACCACACTTTGTAATGTCAGATATTTCCTTTTTACCTGGGAAAATGAAATAATGCATCACAAAAAAACACTAAATTCACAGCTAACATGAGTAAAGAGCATCATGACTCTGATGAGAGGTTTTTTTTACCTTTCATATCTTGTACACATCTGCTCATGTGCTCACTGTGCACCAATAGAACAGAAAAAAAAGTCCATTTTTCCTGGGTCATTTTCTTGTTTACAGGCTCTCTCTTACTAAAGTTTAAAGTTACCATTAACAGTGTGTTTAAAGTTCATAAAAATTGTAGTCATTTTATTGGGAGTAAACTATGTTGCAGTGACTCAAATACGTATTAGCAGAACTAGTTTAACTTTTGTCATCAACAGGCTTATATGTCATGACAATAGGTTAGGATTAGGATAATTCAGAAGTCTGCAGAATCACTGGGTCTTATATCATTTTGATCTGAGCTGGTCAGGAGAATGCCCTCACAAATGTTGGAAAGTGAGGACAAATATGTAGAGATGAAAAGCCTTGGAAGGAGAGTCACGGTGAGAAACTTGCAGTTACGTGTGCAACTGGTCATAGGTGGATTATCCCTAGAAGGCAGGACACTTCAGTGGTAGGTATGGAATGATAGGGTGGTTAAATTCTTGATAAATATTTGTGTCCCTCCATACTCTGTTGAGATACCTGTGTCCAAGAATGCAAAGTGGAGCAATTACCAGTGGCTAAAATTGTTTCTGCAGGAGGTGGGTAACCCTACCAGGATTCTCCCTGACTTTGCTGGCTTCCTGATTCCCTGCTCATTGCCTCAACAGGTTAGCTGTAACCAACACCACCATGACAGGGACTGTGCTAAAGATGACAGACCGGAGCCATCGACAGAAGCTGCAATTGAAAGCCCTGGATACAGTGCTCTTCGGGCCTCCTCTCTGTGAGTCCTATGTAGAGAAGGGCTAGTGTCAAACCTGTTGGCATGGCTGGCTAAGGTCCTGGGGCTCTTAGGTACTGCTGCAAGGCAGCACCTTCATTATTTCCACTGGGATCAATATATGAAACAGTATTATATTTTAGTTCAGCCATATGTAAATATGCATTTGTTAAGTAAATGAGGAAAGTATCTACTTTGTGCTAATTATTGTACTGAGTCCTGTAGAAAGACATGAATGGGGCCCGGCATAATAGCATAGTGGTTAAGGTCCTTGTCTGGAACACACTGGGATCCCATATGGGCGCCAGTTCTAATCCCGGCAGCTCCACTTCCCATCCAGCTTCCTGCTTGAAGCCTTGGAAAGCAGTCGAGGACAGTCCAAAGCCATGGGACCCTGTACCCGCATGGGAGACCTGGAAGAAGTTCCTAGCTCCTGGCTTCGGATCGGCGCAGCATCGGCCATTGTGGTCACTTGGGGAGTGAATCATTGGATGGAAGCTCTTCCTCTCTGTCTCTCCACCTCTCTGTACATCTGCCTTTCCAATAAAAATAAATAAATCTTTAAAAAAGAAAGACATGAATGAATCAGTCTATATGGATATAGGGATCAAAAGAGTGTTCCAGATCAGGACATGGTGTTTTTAAGGCCCAGAGGACCAGAAGCAGCATCTTCTAGTGGAGGTGGCATATGAGCACTGGCTTTAAGTGTGGCTTTAAGCTTTGATGCATGCATGTGGTAAAGAAGACATTCTAGATGGTAGGAAAAACTGGAACAGTATTACAAAAACTAAAATACAAAGATATGCTCTGAGACAGCAAATAATGTCTAAGGGGTTGACTGTTGTTTAGCTAATATCTGCTCTCATGATGTAGAGAACTCTTACTGTAGGAACTGCTTACTGAGTATCTTTGTATCTGAACAAGCAAGGATAAGCAAGATAAGTATCTTTGGATAAATGGGCTAAAGTGATAGAGGCATGCCCAGGCCTAAGAGAGGTGTTCTCAGGTCAGCTAAATCCTCACCTTTCATGCACCCAGATCCAATATGGATGCTGGTTTGTGTTCTGGCTGTTCCACTTCCCAACCAGCTCCCTGCTTGTGGCCTGGGAAAGTGGTAGAGGATGGCCCGGGGCCTTGGGACTCTGACCCCACATGGGAGACCTGGAAGTTGCCAGGAAGAAGTTCCTGGCTTTGGATCAGCTCAGCTCCAGCCATTGTGGCCACATGGAGAGTGAAGCAATGGATGGAAGATCTTTCAGTCTCTTCTTTGTAAATATGCCTTTCCAATAAAAATAAAATAAATGTTAAAAAAAAAGGTGGTTTCTTTAGCTAGGGCTAATTGAGAGAATTAGATAGTTCAATCTCTTCAGATCTTCATAGTGGGAATGACTGACATTGCCATCTTTTTTTTTTTTGCCTGAAAGTTGCCTTTGTTCCCAAGGGGGAACAAAAGTGATTAGATTTCTTAGAAAATCTGCCTTAACCAAAAGGCCCTTTTAGCACACAGGGAGCACCTGAGTTGGTTGTGGATGTCAGTAGCAGAGAATGAGAGAGCCAGGAGCCAGTCTGTAGAAAGTGCTGGAAGCCAGAGGTGGTACATTCCTTGTCTATACGTGTAACTTGTCAAGTGCCCAAGCTGATGAATCAATACAGGTGAATCAAGAATAGTGTGGAAGATGGTTGTCTGTACCTTTGATATCTTTTATGGGGAATAGGTTGGTTAGTATTAAATAAATGATACAGTGAAGGGCTCTATTCTTTATATAAGGCCTACTTTCCATACTAAGCAATGACTTTTTATTTGCTCTCATTTACTGAACACTTATTGTATATATTTACAAATGTCAGGGTATCTGCACTCAGGAAGTTCAGTCAGCCTAGAACCTGTATAAGGCCTGCAAAATGATTTGGTCTGGCCCTACCAAGGCAGATATGGATAAGGCAAGAAATTCAATAAATCTGTATAGCAGGCTAATTTGGGGGAAAGTTTTTATTTACTTATTTATTTGAAAGGAAGAGTAAGAGAAAGAGAAAAATTTACCATCTGCAGTTTCAGTCCCTAAGTGGCCACAGGGCTAAGAGACAAGACTTTGATCCAAGTCTTCTACATGAATGCAAGGGCCCAAGGCCTTAGACTGCCTTGTGCTGCTTTCCCAGGCACATTAGCAGGAAGCTGGATAGGAAGTGAACGGTACCCACACTGCAACTTAACCCATTAACCACCATGCCACCCCCATCAGGCTAATTTTTAACTTGATAATTTTGTATAGCCTGCAAATGATGTTATAAATATCCAGATGGCCCTTGACAGAAAAAAGGTTCTTCAACCCTGGAAATGGAACAGAGTAAATAGTCAACAAATATAGTAAGTGTTTATAGCTATTATGTAAGACTTTCAAGAGTTCACATGGGGACACTAAATAGGGAGATTTCCTTTTGGAGTTCAGGAAGCTTTATGGGGAAGATGATTCTGGAAAAATGGAAAATGTCTTATTAAATGCCCCTGATCAACTGCTTACACCCCTCATTGTGTATACCAATAAGGACACTTGCACCCGAAGATTTATAACCAATGGTAAAAACTAGGCTATTTCTGCAAAAGTTCTGGTCTGTTCCTCCCCAGCAAGGGATGCTCTCAGCAATCTGAGTCTTCCTTAGCCTTCCAGTGTGTATTGTCAGGCTGTTATGTGTTATATCAAAATGGGATTTACCATATCTGAAAGAGTGCGTTGGAAACTACAAATTAAAGCAGGCAAAGATTTTATCTGGAAAAGTCAGTTATAGGAAGCAGAGTCTTGGGCCCATGGTGTTAAATCCAGTAGATCATTTCATGTAGTGTATGTACTGCATGTGATCTAACCTAAGAATGGTCAGAGGGGAAGCTTTGTTAATAGGAGTACTACAGCTAAGAATGTACTTCACACTGAATAGATAACAGCAATAATAATAATAACTATAATGAGTGTTTCTATTTATTTTTTTAAAACATTTTATTTTTGTTAGAAAGGCAGATTTACAGAGGCGGAAAGACAGAGATAAAGATTTTTCATCCACGGATTCACTCCCTAAATAGCCACAAATGACCACAAATTCCTGGAGCTGAGTTGATCTGAAACCAGGGACCAGGTGCTTCTTCTGTGCAGGGACCCAAGGCTTTGGGCCACAACAGGGAGCTGGATGGGAAGTAGAGCAGCCAGGAGATGAACTAGACCCCATATGGGATCGTGCCACATGCAAGGTGAGGATTTAGCCACTGAGCCTTTGCTTTGAGCCCTCCATTCACTTTTTAAGTGCTTCTGCTGAAAAACTGAGGCTCAGACGGGGAAAAATGAATTTATAGAATGCTGTGATTGGAAGTTGAGCCATTGTGCTGGGCCCTGTGGTAGTCTTTTAAAAATAGAAAATATGTATTGGCAATAGTGTGGAGAAATTAGAGTCTTGTACATTGCTAGAAAAAATATAAACTGGTTCAGCTAGTGTGGAAAATATTGTAACGGTTCCTTGAAAGTTAAACTCAGATTCGATTCACTGTGTAACTCAGCAATTGTTTACATATATAATCCGCTGCATTGGAAACAGGGCCTCAGATAAAGACATATGTATGCATGTTCATAGCAACACTAGCCGAAAGAACCAAAAGATGGCAACAAATGTTCATCAATAGATGAATGGATAAATGACTTATGGTACATACATGCAATGGAATGTTAATGTGCCATAAAATGAGATGAAGTTTGGTTCATGAAAAAATATGAATAAACTTGGAAAGCAGTATGCTACAAGAAAATGGCCAGTAAATTTCGGATATTGTATGGGTCTATTGATATGAAATATCTAAAAAAGGTAGATTTGTGTAGAGAGAAAGCAGATGGATAATCAATAGGTGTTGGAAAGAAGGGAGAAATAGCTTAATGCATGATTTTTTTTTCTTCCTAATGCTAGAAATGTTTTGGAACTAGAGAGTGAGTTTAATGACTGCATACTTTGTGAATGTATGACCTTATTTCAAAAAAGTTGTAGAAAATGAAATTAGCAATACATTTTTTAGTGGAACAATTTTTGAAATTCATAAATTTTTTTAGTATTTTTCTATAAACTTTCTACAAATACTCCATACCATATGCTTCTAAATTATTCTCTTTAAAGTGGCTAATTTTGTATTAATTTTTGCCTCAGTAAATTGTTTCTTTTTTTAAAGATTTATTTTTATTATTTTTTAATTGGAAAGGCAGATATACAGAGAGGAGAGACAGAGAGGAAGATCTTCTGTCCGATGATTCACTCCCCAAGTGAGCGCAACGGTCGATGCTATGCCGATCCGAAGCCAGGAGCCTCTTCCGGGTCTCCCACGCAGGTGCAGGGTCCCAAAGCCTTGGGCCGTCCTCAACTGCTTTCCCGGGCCACAGGCAGGGAGCTGGATGGGAAGCGGGGCTGCTGGGATAGAACCGGCGCCCATATGGAATCCCGGGCGTGCAAGGCAAGGACCTTAACCACTTGCGCCACTGCGCCGGGCCCAGTAAATTGTTTTTTAAAAGATTTATTTATTTTTATCAAAAGGCATGCTTACAGAGAGAAGGGGAGATAGAAGAATCTTTCATCCTCTAGTTCACTCCCCAGATGGATACAATGGCTGGAGCTGAGCCAGCCTGAAGCCAGGAGCCAGAAGCTTCTTTCAGGTCTTCCACATGGGTGTGCACAGTCCCAAGGCCTTGAACCATCCTCTGCTGCTTTCCCAGTCCATAAGCAGGGAGCTGGATCAGAAGTAGGGTAGCTGGTGTTTGAAAGTAAAGGGTTAGGGACTGGCACAGTAGCTTAGTGGCTGAACCCTTGCCTTGTATCCACCAGGATCCCATATGTCTGCTGGTTCATGTCCCAGCTGCTCCACTTCATATATATATATATCTCCTTCTTTCTGGATAACAGTCTCCCTACCTGTCTTTTACCCTTTTGAATTGGGAGCTCCTCGAGGGCAGAAATGGCTTTGTTCATTTGTCATTAGCCTCAACTTTAAGACCCAGCATGGGGCCGGCACATTAGCCTAGTGCCTAAAGTCCTCGCCTTGCACACACCCAGGATCCCATGTGGGCACTGGTTCTAATCCCGGCTGGGCTGCCCTGCTTCCCATCCAGCTCTCTGCTTGAGGCCTGGGGAAGCAGTCGAGGACAGCCCAAAGGCTTGGGACCCTGCATCCACATGGGAGACCCAGAAGAGGCTTTGGGCTCCTGGCTTCAGATCAGCACAGCTCTGGCTATTACGGCCACTTGTAAGATAAATCAATGGATGGAAGATCTTCCTCTCCGTCTCTCTTCCTCTCTGTATGTCTGACTTTTGAATAAAATTAAGTAAATAAATATTCTGAAACAATGACCCAGCAGGGAAGAGGAGGGAAGAAGACAAATGCTAGCAGTTGTGCTTGGGGAGAGTGGGCCTTTCCAGACTACAGGAGAGAAACTGCGAGAAGAATCTGGCCCAGGTTGGTGTTGGGGAATTGCTGCATATGTAGTGTCTATGAGAACTGTTGGTTTATGACTAGAAAGGAGGAGGGCCAGTTAAACAGATATTCCCACAAAAAGGGCAACATAAATACTAAAAGGAATTCCCAGCACATATTTTGGCAGTGAGGAATGACTATCTGCACCTGACAGCATGTCATGGGCAGTTGAGAGAATGGAGAGAGTTGACAGGGAGAGAGGACTCAGGGATGCTGTAGTGATTGGAGGCCCGCCTTCTCAGTGCTAAGTGATACCTGGAAATTATTTGTATTACCCTGACTGTTAACTTGTCAACATTTCATTTATCTACATTTATTTCCCCTGCGTTAGGCCTGAGGAAGTTAATATTTGACCTTGTTTGCAGAAATTTATTTGCAGCATTTAGATTGGGAATCCTGCCATGCTCTCCCTTCCTGCCAGCTTCCCTGGCTGAGCTCTCACTCACCTAGCCAGCCACGTGAGCTCTTCCCAAACCCCAGTGGCCGCTGTGCCTTGGCTGTGCTTCCTGGATATGAGATAGATTATGAGGGCTGAGTACATGTAAGAGCTACACAATTCATGTGCTCACATCTTCTTGTTCCCAGGGTGGACGCTTACTCCTTATATGTACTTGGTTTGTACTCTACTTTCCTGCTAAAACTTCACTTCATTCTTTGTTTTTTTCTTCTTCCCACCTTTGCTAAGCACCTACTCTAGGTTAGACTTTATGCTAAGTACAGGGCTACAGAAATAAACACTGTTTTTCCTGCCCTGAGAAACTGGTGGACCACCAGATGTGACTGACATGAAAGCTCAAAAAATACACAAAACAGTTTCTCAGATAGGAAGAAATTGCCTGTGTTTCTGGGCCCAAAGAATGGGCTGGTTAGGGAATCCTGACTCAGAGGAGGAACGATCTGTGTGACTGTAATAGGCTGGGAAGGTGGTAGGAAATGAAAGATGGAAGGAGGATTATCGTGGGTTCATCATTCTTCTTCTTCTTCTTCTTTTCTTTTTTGGAAAGGCAGACATACTAAGAAGGGGGAGAGACAGAGAGGAAGATCTTCTGGCCAGTGGTTCATTCCCCAAGCAGCAACAGCTGTAGAGTCAATCCGAAGCCAGGAGCCAGGCACTTCTTCTGCACGGGTGCAGGGTCCCAAATATTTGGGCTGTCCTCGACTGCTTTCCCAGGCCATAAGCAGGGAGCTGGATGGGAAGTGGAGCTGCCTGGATTAGAACCGGCGCCCGTATGGGATCCCAGCACATGCAAGGCGAGGACTTTAGCCGCTGCACTATCATGCCAGGCTTGGGTTCATCATTCGTAAGACAAAGATAGATTCTTTCCTTTCCTTTTCTATTTTAACTTTTTTTTAATGTTTAATTCAAAGGTGAGGTCCCAGTCATTCAATATTTTTTTTTTTTTCGGTATTCGGTGTTGGGACCTGAATGAGGGTATAAAGCTGAATTTAGCACAGAATTGATCTCTTTTTAAAAGAATTTATTTATTTTATTGAAGAGTCAGATTTACAGAGGGAAGGAAAGACAAAGAGAAACCCCTTCCATTTGCCAGTTCACTTCTCAAATGGCCAGAGTTGAACTGATCCAAAACCAAAACCCAGGAATCTCTTCTAGGCCCCCTTGTTGGTACAGGGTCCTAAGGGCTTGGGCCATCCTTCAGTGCTTTCCCAGACCATGAGCAGGGAGCTGGGCAGGAAATGGAGCAGCTGTGACATGAACTGGCACCAATATAGGATGCTGGTGCTTGTAGATGGAGGATTAGCTGGTTGAGCCACAGTGCTGGTCCCACAAAATTATCTTGACAAGGTAAAAGAGATTAAATGGAGTAGCTGAGCCCAACCTGCATAACCATTTAAGAAACTTGTAAGTGTTGGAAGTAATATCATCCATATGCCCTGCATATTGGCTTTCCAAGGGGTTGTGACTACTATATAGCTTTTTGTCAAACTGTGGGCCTCAGCTTCATACAATTTCTAACAACCTATGTTTTTCCTGGAGTGTGACACCCTTCCTCAGTCTGGTAGCTTGACCTGGATGTTTTTGTTCTTCAGCTCCATGTCCTGACCAGGCACTGGAGTCCTTCCAGTATTTCTTCCTTATCCTTGAGGAAGACTGCAATCTGCTGTGTGCAGAGGGTCCCTGAGCCTGATTGAGCTCTCGCTGTTCTTTCCACAACTTCTGGGCCCACAACGTAACTCAGCAGCCCTGTTATGAATGTCCCCTCCAAGTCCACTGTGCTGTGCCCAGGACTCAGATCTGATAGACTAGGGACAATACAGACTCGATGAGTGTTCCTGTTTGGCTAAGTTCTTGAGATGTGACTTTTGCTTTATCTGTTGGTGGGCTTTGGAGACTAGACATTGCTTTAAACCCTAGTTGAAGCCTTAGGCCCATGAACTTCACTAAGTTGTTTCTAGACCTTCTCTGAAGTTAGGACTTCCCCTAAGCTTCTTACATGTAAACCAGTCTATCGATTCTACTTTTGTTTTGCTGGTATCTGGACTGAGTGACAGCCTAGAAATGTTCTCCTCAGATTGAGATTTTAAGATGAACTGAGCTTGGACCTTGTGCCTAGAGTGGCCTGGTAGTCTTAGAGGAATGGCTTCTGCTGTGTCCTTGGTCCCTTAGCCAGAACTCAGGCTCCATGGTGTTGCTCTGCTTCAGCCTCCACCCCCCATTTTTTTAAAGATTTATTTATTTTTATTTGGAAGGCTGATTTAGAGAGTCTTCCAACCACTGGCTCACTCTCCAGACAGCCACAATGGCCAGAGCTGAGCCAATCTGAAACCAACAGTTTCTTCCAGCTGTCCCACATGGGAGCAGAGTCCTAAAGGCCTGGGCCATCCTCTACTGCTTTTCTAGGCCATACTGCTTTTCTAATTCACTAGGGAGCTAGGTGAGAAGTGGAGCAGCCTGGATCCATTTGGGATTTCAGTGCTTGCAGGAGTAAGATTAGCCAGTTGGGCCATTGTGTGAGTCCCAAATCTGTTCCCATTGTAATAGCTGTTTCTTGTAGCAACTTAGCACTGCTTTCCCTGTAGAATGGAGCTGTTGCATTGGGGCACATAGGTTCATCCAAGCCAAGTGATGGCTTGGGATGTGTTGAAGATGCTCCTTTTCACCTGTTCACTCCACCTTAGGAAAGCCTGATTTAGTAAGGTTCCTATAAGGCCTTTCATCTTTTCCAAACTGGGCCTTGACCAGCAGAGAGACTGTCAGCAGAGCTTACTATAATAGCATATGGCAAGGATGTGTCTAAGAAGAAACGCTAACTCCTTGAGTAGGGAAGTTTCTTGGTCAGGGAAATTCATGGAGGAAGGAGTATTGGGTCTGCATGCCTGAGTGTGCAGTGGGCGTCCTTGCTCACCATGCTCTCCCTCTCTGGCAGTGACTCGCCACAATCACCTCAAGGACTTCATGCTGGTGGTATCTATCGTTATTGGTGTGGGCGGCTGTTGGTTTGCCTATATCCAGAACCGTTACTCCAAGGAGCACATGAAGAAGATGATGAAGGATTTGGAAGGACTGCACCGAGCTGAGCAGAGTCTACATGACCTTCAGGAAAGGTAAGGTCCTGTCCTTTTCCATCAGCCATGGTGTTGTCAACTCTCAGATGCTTGGATTGGAGGCCACGAGGCTGCCCAGGCTGAGCCATCTTTCCACAAATGTACTGGGATCCCAAGGGCCTGCTCTTCCTGTTGCCCTGGACAGTTATTCTTCCTGGGATGAAGGGTATATCCATCTTACCTACAAGCCTCAAGGGAGAAATGTGTTCCTGTCAGAGGTTGGCTGTGCATCTCCTTGGTTGGATTACTTGTTAGGGCTCATTCTATCCTTTGTTCCTCCTCTGGACTGCTTCCCTTCCATATGGACAGGAGCAATGACTGTCCTTTACTTTTCATCCTTCCTCCCAGGATTCTCTTGTGTGCCATCTGAATTTTCTAAGTACTGAGTTGCAGGTAGGATGGGGCAAGTGCTTTCCCTTCCAAACACTGAATTCCTCATTAGTAATGTGAAGAGACTGAATTAGGAGAACACTAAACTCATCTCAGAGAACTCCTCTCAGCTCTGATGGGCTGGGATTCTGTTGAAATGAAAATATGACTTAAAAATCGTGGCCAAGGATTTAGCTGTGAGAAAAGGAGAGCAGTCAGTCACTGAGCCAATCAGTCCAAGTACTCTGGCCATCTAGGAACCAAGTTTATTTTGATAATCATCTGGAATGCACAGCTCCTTGGGCATACCCAAGGAATGTACCCATAGGAAGGAGCAGTGGGCAGATGCTTAAAGCAGACTCTGATCAGCCTGGGGAGAAAGAACTAGAAGGGCAGAGAAGCAGGAGATGAGCAGATGTGGACTGTGAGCTATGTACAGTTATCTACCTAAATGTGTTGGCACTGTTAATCTCCACTACCTTTTCAAATCTGAGAACTCTAGTTTAGGGTTGAGGAAATGAAGGCTCAGAGAGGATGAGCATTTTGCCGAAGGTCATGCCGAAGGAGTGAGCTAAGAATTTCAGCACTCGCAGAACACTGTTTTTACTGAAGCTGGGGCCTTGCCAGACTTATATACTGGGGCTGGCTTCTCGGAGTGAGAAGGATTTGATCTCTAAGCTGATTCCTAGCTACTCTGTTGGGCCCCTTGTTCCTGGGCCTTTTGCCAACTAGGGGCTAACTGCTGCTGTCCGAGCAGTCCCCATTCTTCATTTGTCTGAAAAAATATGTACTGTTTTCATTCCAAAGGCAAAAGAATTTAGGCAGGAGACATTCCAAGTTTGGGGATAAAACCAAGCTCCCAGCCTCCCTGCTCCCCCAGGCCTTCAGAGCTAAATGAGCACTGTAGCACTTAAAGACAGACAGAGTACCGCTTATCCACCCCCGAGACAGGCTAGAACACTCACATGCGCGTTCCCTCTGACTGTTTAGGGCCCATATACCACGTTGACCTTTTCACTTTCACAGGCCTGTCCGTCAGCCACCATAGTTCTTTTTCATAGTTTTTTTTTTTTTAATGATTAAATGTAAGGCTACCTGTACATTCCAGTAGGATTTCATTGGATTTCAACATAATTCTTTGAGGCAGGTAGTAATTTTGATTCCTATTTCACTGTGAAGAAACAGGCAAAACTTGTTCATAGTCACATTAACTACTTAGAGTCATGATTTAGAATCAGGCTGCCTAATGTTCTTATTTGTAACATGAATCGGTTGTGTCTTGGGAATTAGGCAGTGCTTAGTTATATTTGCTCATTTCTGTACCAACAGTGTTAATTGATCTCCATTTCTTCTAGACGCTACTGGGACTGTGAAAGTAGGGCAAGCTTGATTCTACTTCAAGTTCTTATGGTGCAAGGGCAGAAATATAGTACTGGCTTTTCTGGAGACTTCTTTCTAAGAGGACAATATTTAAGTAAGGATTGAATCTATAATGGTACAATTCTACGTAGCTGATCATGGATAAGTGCAGTTAAGGATACTCAACAAGAGCTGTGCGAAGGTTTTGTTTTAAGGCTGTGCATGTAGCGCCACCTTGTGTTTATCCTGAGATGTTCAACTCCCTTTTTCTCCAGAAGCAAAGTATAAAAAGAATGCAGTTTGTCAAGCAGGAAGTTTTCCATTTCCCTCCCTGCTTGTCTCACCACATCTTTTGAGGCTTAGCCACTGATGGCTCTGGAATTGGAGGTTTTTTGTTGTTGTTGCTTGTTTGTTTGTTGTTGTTGAGTTCTGTTTCATTCCATTTTGCTTCATTTACTTAATCAACTCAGTGGTCAAAACTTTTCTCTGTGGGCCGTTCCTCTTGTATAATCTAGCCTTTCTTTTCTGTACTTCATCTTAACCATGAGTCTCTTTTCTTCTTCATCGTTCTTTCTACCTCTTTGTTCCCTGGCAACCTGCTTGTGACTGTTAGGGTAGAAGGACCTGACAATAGCTAAGTCCTTTATTTTTTCCAAAAGAAATAAACACTGAACTCCTGAGTTTGGTCCAGGCCTCCCCGTCTGTTATTGCTTTCTGGCAGAGTGGATAATTCCATGCAATGGGCTCACCCAACACTGGATGCCTGTCTCTATTACAGAACCCAGTGCCCTCCATATAGTTATCTGTTTACTTGCCTTTGTTGGACTCAGTCTTGATCTTTTCAGTGTCGAACAGTTTTCTGATTTACCTCCACATATTTAGGTAACATTTAGGCAACTGACAAAATGAATGGATCATTCATTTTATAGATGGATTTGTGGAGGTAAGGTGGACTGAAAGAAGGAGACTTATTTAGAAGGAAGGCTTTTATTAGTTCATGGAGGGCACAGGTGGGTGGGTGCAAGGATAGATTTTTTTGTTTTACAACTGAAACCTTTGAGGTCTTACCCACTGTAACAGATACTTAGGAAAGAAACTCAGGGCTTGTGTAAGCCAGGAATTGTTTGGATTGAATTTCATTTTTCTGTATTTCTGGGAATAGGTACTTAGGAGCCTGAAATATTCAGCATTGTAGTTCTTTTTCATCTTTCAGCCTTCCTTCACTCAGTCATATCTCAACCATTAGGTTTCTCCAGGGATCTTTGTGTGGTTTGTGGGGTGTGCTGCCTTTATTGAGTCTTCCAGGTAATTTGATATAAGGTGAAATAGTTATGAATATTGGAGTGACATATATTTGAACTCTTATCAGTTCCTCTTGGAAGTTACTTTCCCTCTCTGAGCTTTCATATACACATCTCTTTCAGGCTGGTACTTACACTATCATATCATCCTCTGCCAAGAGCACAAATGTGAAATGCCTTGTCAACTGGTAGTTGCTATGGTTTTAGTGTGTGACATACTTTAGAGGAGTGATTCAGATGCCTGGCAACCTGGATTCATAGCCTTGATTACTACCAGGAAAATGATGGCCAACAGAAGAATTAGGGTAATGTCTGTGGTTTCTTTGCCCTGAGCTAGCTCAGAACCAGTCAGTCAGCAGAGTAGGACAAATATATGCTGAGGGCTGGAGTTCTGTTTCTTCCTTGCTACCATGAGTCATGGCGTGTTGGCTGGCACCCGGCTGCCTGGCCTCCTGCAGCTCCCTGCATCACCCCCAGGCTGCACAAGGCCCAGGAGGAGCACCGCACAGTGGAGGTGGAGAAGGTCCATCTGGAGAAGAAGCTGCGTGATGAGATCAGTCTCGCCAAGCAGGAAGCACAGCGATTGAAGGAGCTGCGGGAGGGCACTGAGAATGAGCGGAGTCGCCAAAAATATGCAGAGGAAGAACTGGAGCAGGTAGGAGAGTCTACAAACTCCTGGCCACCCCTGGGGATGGGTGCAGGGCGAGGGCCCAGGGTCTGCTGGAAAGTTTAGTGTGCAATGACTTCAAAATATGGCTCAAAAATTTTTTTGTAGAGGCACTAGACTCTCACTAGAGGTAAATTTGCAAAAAGGGGTCACAGTGATTTTCCAAGAACAACAAATAACAGGAGATAACAATTGTTTGTTCCTTTTTTATTGAGATATTTATGTACAGATGGTAAGTTTTTGTGTAAGCATGTATCTGTGTAATCACCAGGTCAACATGCAGAGCCCCAGAAAGCTCACTTTTGTTCCCTAATAAGTATTTTATTTAAAAGATAGTTACCATGAACCAAATTGCTGTTGCCTGGTTTTGAACTTTATATAAATGGTCTTATATAGTATATACTCTTTTGTGTTTGATTTTTTCATTCAACATTGTGCCTGTAAGAATCATCCATGTTGCATAGCAGTGATAGTTTTGGTTATTGGAGGGCGGGGGGTTGCTGTACTTATATTTTAAAGTTATGTAAGGGTGAGTTCTAAGGAGGGGGGGTGGGGTGTGGGGGGGTGGGGTTTCGGTTGTTGAGGGGGAGGGTATTATTGAGTGGCAGGTGGTGGGGAAAGGTGGGGATTTTTTTTGGTGAGGGGGATGAATGTCAAGAGAGAATGATTTGGTGGAGATTGTGGGTGTGTTTTTTGGGGGTGTAGTGAGTTCAGGGGGGTTTGGTTGGGTACGAGATGTGAGAGGGGAGGGTGGGGTGGGGGGGTGGGGGGGGTGTGGGGAGGAGGGGGGGAGGGGGGGGGGTGGGGGGGGGGGGGGGGGGGGTTGTGGGGGGGGGTATTGGTGGTGTAGTGGGGGTAAGGAAGAGTGCGCGGGTGCGCTGTGTGATGGGGTTTGTTTTTGTGTAGGGGGGTAGGATGTGAGGGGTAGTGTGTGGGTGTGAGGGAGGTGGTGGTGGGTGTATTGGGGTGGGGTGGTGGGGTTGGGATGTGTGTGAGTGTGAGAGTGGTGTGGGAGGTGGTGAGAGAGGGTAAGTTGGGGGGGTGTGGGAGTGTGGTTAGTGGTATGGGGGGGTTAGGTTGTGTGGTGGGGGGTGGGGGGGTGGTGGCGACATGTGGGAGGTGGTTAGGGGGGGGTATAGGGGGGGGGGGGGGGGTGTGTGTGTGGGGTTTAGGGGGGGGGTTGAGAGGAGGTGGTGTTATATAGAAGGGAGGGGGGTTGTATATTTACTTTAATGTGGGGAATTTGGGGGGATGAAGTGAGGAGGAGTTTGGGTGGTTGGAATGGAGTTATTTAAGGTTGGGGGTGTAGGGTTGGGGTTTTTTATGGAAGTGTTTGAGGGGGTGGGCTGGGGGAGGTAGGGTTAGGTAAGTTTTTGGATTGTTACTTGGGATTATTTGTTGGAATTAGTTGGTGGTATCTTTATTTCAAAAAGTGGATGAACTGTTGTTTCTGACTGATTTGTGAGAGTTCTTTATGTATTCTGGATGTGAATCTTGTCAATATATGTTCATATGTATTATAAACATTTTCTTCTAGTCTGTCTTCTTTTGTGTGTGTGTGTCTTGCTTGTTAATACCATCTTTTGATAAACAGGAGAGACAAAGAGAAAGATCTCTGTCCACTGGTTCACTCCCCAAGTGCCTGGAGCAGCTGGAGCAGCTGGAGCTGAGTTTATCTGAAGCCAGGAGCTTCTCCCACGTGGGTCCAGGGTCCTAAGGCTTTGGGCCGTCCTCCACTGCTTTCCCAGGTCACAAGCAGGGAGCTGGATGGGAAGTAGAGCTGCCGGGACACAAATTAGTGTCCATAAAGGATCCTGGTGCATGCAAGGCAAAGGCTTCAGCTATTATGCTACTGTACTGGGGCCCTAAAATTTATCTTTATTCTTATTGAGAAGGCAGATTTATAGAGAGGAGGAGAGACAGAGGGAAAAAAAGATCTTCCATCCTCTGGTTCACTTCCCAAGTAGCCATAATGGGCAGAGCTGAGCTGATCTGAAGCCAAGAGCTTCCTCTAGGTCTCCTATGTGGGTGTAAGGTCCCAAGGCTTTGGGTCATCCTCCTCTGCTTCCTTAGTTCATAAGCAAGGAGCTGGAGAAGGGAAGCCTCTATGGGATCCTGGCACTTGCAATGGCAGGATTAGCCAACTGAGCCATTGCTTTGGCCTCAATTATGATTTTTAAAGACTGGGTCACTTATGAAACTGCTTATTTTCCCTCCTGATTATTGATTTTATTTTTCTGCTTCTTTTCAATAAAATCCTGGCTAGTATGTAGAAGAAGTAATAAAAGCTCCAGATGATTCTGTTTTCATTATGATATAGAGTTTCTTCTGTGGAGTGTAGGGTGAGGAGCTGATTATCTCAAGTCAATAAGAGACTGAGCTGCCTTAGAGCTGGATAATACATCCAGCTCCCCACTTGTGGCCTGGGAAAGCAGTAGAGGATGGCCCAAAGGCTTGGGACCCTGCACTCGCATGGGAGACCCAGAAGAAGCTTTTGGTTTCTGACTTCGGATCAGTGCAGCTCTGGCTGTTGTGGCTGCTTAGGGAGTGAATCAACAGATGGAAGATCTTCCTCTCTGTCTCTCTTCCTCTCTGTATATCTGACTGTCCAATAAAAAATAAAATAAATCTTAGGGGAAAAAAAAAGAACTGGGTTATAGTTGAACTAAGACTTAGTCTAACTGGTTTGCTTTGATGAAGATGCGTCCCCTACCCCTCACTTTTTATTAAGAGTTGGTAGGTTTATTCTTCTCAGTGCTGAAAGACTGGAAGAGAGTTTTTCAGTTTTGCTGTGTGCACTGGACTGTTGGCTCTGTGCTATGCTGGAGCCTTTGTGCATGGAGCCGTCCTTATTCCCTTACCTAGAATCACCCAGAGCCTTCATGGAAGGCTTTGCCTTAGAGAGGCTTTTGCCTCTCAAGATTTTTAGTTCATCTACTCCAATGGTTTTCAGACTGTTTGGTCTCTGTCAGGACCCTTGTAGAAATTATCTAGGGGGAAGTTATATGGCATAGTCGATGCAGCTGCTGATGCGGGGTATGCTTCCCATACTGGAGCACCTGAGTCCCAGTCACTTTACTTCTGATCTAACTCCCTGCTAATTCAGATTTGGAAAGCAGCAGATGATGGCTCAAGTACTTGATTCCTGCCACCCCCAAGGGAGACTAGGATGGAATTTTAGAATCTTGACGTTCATTTGTCCCAGGCTGTTGTAGGCATTTGGGGAGTGGGTTAACAGATAGAAGCTCTCTCTGTCTCTGTCTCTGTTGCTCTGCCTTTCAAACAAATATAAATAAATAACCGTTAAAAATATTTAGAGGGGGTCTGTATTGTGACGTATCAGATTAAGCTTCAGCCTGATTTGCTGACATTCCATATCAGAGCACTGTTCCTGGGCTTATCTACTCCACTTCAGATCTGGCTTCCTGCTAACGTGCCTGGGAAAATGCTTGGGGCCCTGCCACCCACACAGGAGACACAAATGGAGTTCTGGATTTCTGTTTTGCTCTGTCCCAACCCTGGTTATTGTGACCATTTAGAGAGTTATGCATCAGATGGAAGGTAAATGAATAAACTTAAAAATTGTTTAGGACTGGGCCCAGCTTATAGCCTAGTGGCTAAAGTTCTCACCTTGCATATGCCAGGATCTCATATGGGCATTGATATGGGTTCATATCCTGGTGGCCCTGCTGCCCTTCCAGATCCCTGCTTATGGCCCTGGAGGGCAGTGGAGGACGGCCCAAATGCCTTGGGACCCTGCACCCATGTGGGAGACCTGGAAGAGGCTCCTGGCTTCGGATCAGCACAGCTCTGGCTGTTGCAGCCACGTGGGGTAGTGAACCAGCAGATGGAAGATCTTTCTCCCTGTCTTTTCTCTTCTCTGTATATCTGGCTTTCCAATAAAAATAAACAAATCTTTTAAAAAATTGTTTAGGACCTCAAAGAACATTTTTAAGAAAGATTACCTTTCTAAGTGCACTAGTAGAAGGCTGAATCAGAAGTGGAGCAGGCAGAACTCAAACCAGCACTCTGGTACAGGATATCAGTATAGAGGATTAGCTCACTGTGTCCTGATACCAGCACCTCAAACAACAGTTCTATGGGAAAAATACTGCCAATATTTACCCTGTTAAAACAATTTTTTAAAAGTGAGTATTAAAAAGAGCCACAAAAATGTCTTGAACATTAAAACAAATATGAAAAATGGCCATGCTTTCCAAAAGTAAAAACAATTCAATGGCAAGAGTGAATTTTTATAATTTTGTAAATCTTTTAAATGTCTGCTGCAGTGAGCTGTTAATGTATATAGTTAGCCTGTTGAGAACTCTGCATTTTGTGTGTGAAAGAGAGTGAAAGATGTAAATAATGTCTCAGCATTGTTATAAAGATAGTTTTGACTTCCCAGTTGCCCTGACTTGACCTTGGGAGTGCCCAGGCCAGTTTGAGAGTTGCCAGCCTGCTGTTAATTGCCTCCACAGCTCCCTGATGTCTTTGAAAACACAATTCCTGCAACAGAAGTTGTGTTGGATCAGATTGTTTTTCCATGATTTTCTGCATCCTACTGGGATTTTAAAATCTGGAGCTCTGTGGTTATTTACTTTGGCTGCGTATAAGACTGACTGGAAAAGCTTCTAGAGACTTCTTCATGTTCACACCAATACCCCAGATCAATGACATCATAATCTTTGGATTGGGTTCTGGATATTAGTGTTTTAAAATTCCCATGTGATTCTACTATGGGACAAGGTTAATAGTGCTATAGAATGAAAGAATAGGACCAGTGAGTTTTAACTTGTTCTTCTGTTGGGCCTATCCTCCTCTAGGCATTTGTTACTTAAATGCAGTAAGATGTGTCTGTCTCTGTCCCTCTGCTTCCCATTTCACCTGTTCTCTATTTTGTAGTGATTCCTCTCATTCAACAGCTTTTTGAAAAAATAAAGACTTTTTTAGTTTGTAAGTCAAAATTACAAAGAGGGAGGGAGGGAGAGAGGAAGAGAGAGTTTATCCACTGGTTCACTCCTCATATGGCTGCTATGGCCAAAGTCAGGTTGATCCCAAGCTGGGAGCTAGGAGCTCCTTCTGGGTTTCCTATGGGGTGCAAGGGCACCAGCACTTGGGTCATCCTCCAATGCTTTCGCAGGCCATAAGCAGAGAGCTGGGTCAGAAGTGGAGCTGCTGGGATCCACTCTAGCACCATTTGGGATGCCAATGCTGTAGGTGACGTTTGTCCCTCTACTCATGACAATGGCCCCCATTCAACAGCTCTTCAACCTGCTGGTCAAGACCTTCTGTAGGCCTTCTTGATTTCCACATTTTTTCCTTCATTTACTCTTTTTTTGTCTTCTGCATCTATTTTCCCCTTCTAAGTCTACCGCATTCTTTAATTTTTAATGTATAACTTAATCACAGATTTTTATGCTTGGTGCATTAGTTTCTAAGATTTCTCTTCTTCATGTGAAATCTATAAAACCAGGATTGAACATTTAATAACCTTCCTTTTAAGGAACATACACCAGGCATTAATTGCCTTTCAAATGAGTAATAGTGTTCTGTGCTTAGCCAGAGGCCCCTCTGCTCTACCTTCCACTGTGGAGAAGCTCTCAGGCTTGCCGGGCATGTGACTAAAATCAGAAACAGTGTGCTCCTAATCCTTGCTGCCTGAAATGAGGGGGTTGGGGATCTCTTGAACTGGTATCCTGAGTGAAGCAGCAAGGAAAGAAGTGTTTTTAATGCTTGTGTACGCTTGGATTTTTCACACTTGAATACTTTGTTACTGCTTCATTGTGTGTTTCCCACAACTGTGTTCCTCCATTACTTGGCTTCTGTTGACAGTGCTATTGCTAGATGTGGAGATATGGGAAAGATGGTATTTTTTAAAAGCCTGCCTTTCCTGGTTAATAAGAGAATCATAGGCACAATATTCTGGTTAAAGAAGACTTTGAAGATGATTGAAGCCAATGACTTAATGTGTACCTTTTTGACATCTTTTTGAGGAATCTGTGACATAAGCTGTTTGCATGCTTTGATGATAAGGAAATCACGGTCTCCCAAGATCCCTTTACTAATAATTGTTCATGTGTATGTGGGTCTGTGTATATTATTTATTAAATGATTATAGTGGCTGAGATTGGGCCAAGCCAAGGCCATGAACCTGGGACTCCATCTGGGTCTTCCACATGAGTTTAGGAGCTCAAGTACTTGGGTCATCATCTTTTTTTAAAAGACTTTATTTACTTATTTGAAAAACAGAGTCTCACAAAGAAGGAGAGACAAAGAGAGAGCTCTTCCATCTGGGTCCACTCCCCAAATGGCTGTAACAGCTGGAGCTGTGCAGTCCAAGGCTAAAAATCAGGAGCTTCTGGATGTCCCACTTGGGTGCAGAGGCCCAAGCACTTGGGCCATCTTCCACTGCATTCCCTAGGAGCATTGTCAAGGAGCTGGATCAAAAGTGAAACATCTAGAACTTTAACTGGCACCCCTATAGGATGTCCTATAGGATGCAGGCAGAAACCTAGCTCACTATATCACAGTGTGGGTCCTCAGTGATTTAGATTTGTGTGAGAGAAAGTCCTCACAGTGAGTCAAGATAAGCTATAGGAAGCACAAGGTCACACAGCTAGTTGAGTGGCAGAACCAGATTTCCAGATTCTCAACTGAATGCTTTTTTGCCACATTGTGATTTCTTAAGGTCCAAGTAGAGACTGTAACCTAGTAAAGTGGTGATGCTTCACTAGCTGTTTCTGAAGGGATGACAGAACTTGCTGAGCCTAATTGCATGATTGGGAGAATCCGCTGGTATAATGGAAAGGAGTGTGCTAGTTTGAGAGCAAAAATCTCCCTTTGAAGTCTATTGACTATGTTGCCTTGAGTTGGTTATGGTCCTCCTCTGAACTTGCTTCCATATGTATAAAGACAGGAATTCATTTTGGCCTTTCTTTTTCCCTACAACAATTATAAAGCATATAAGAATTCCGAATTCTGAAGCATCATTCAGGGGTGTTAGAGAGGGTCTTTGCAGCAGTAAATGAACTCAGATTCTTTTGGTGCACAGGTTCGAGAAGCATTGAGGAAAGCAGAGAAAGAGTTGGAATCACACAGCTCGTGGTATGCTCCAGAGGCCCTGCAGAAGTGGCTACAGCTGACACATGAGGTGGAGGTGCAGTATTACAACATCAAGAAGCAAAATGCAGAGAAGCAGCTGCTGGTTGCCAAGGAGGGGGTGAGACCTATCCTCCTGTGACCTTCCTACTGTCCTCTTTTCTCATCCTCATTGCCCCCTGCCTTTCCTCTGCCCTTCTACTTCTCTGCCTCTCCTTGTCCTTCTGTTGGACAAAGAGATATCCTGGTGGTAGGTTCTATTTCTTTTTCTAATCTGAACCTTCTGATAACACCCTCAAGTTCCTCAAATAGGGGGTGAAGGTGTATGGATATTGCTACCTGTCTTCTGGAAAAGATGGAACAAATGGAGGCAGATAGAAAAAAAACTCTACCGTCCCATGCTGCCAGGCACAGAGGCCTCCTTGGGCAGAGGGACTTTCAGAGAACTTCTTCTCTTCTCTCACTTCTTCTCCCTCCCCACTACTTCCCATCTCCTTGACTTCCTTTTGTCCTTTCTCTTCTTTCTCTCTGTGCAGCCTAAGCTGTACTAGGAGAAGACCCAGTCACAAGAAGGCACTTCTCATTTTTGCCACCCTCTAATTCCTGCTTTCTTTAAGCTGGGGCCTCATCTTTGCAGGCTGAGAAGATAAAAAAGAAGAGAAACACACTCTTTGGCACCTTTCATGTGGCCCACAGCTCTTCCCTGGATGATGTGGATCACAAAATCCTAACAGCTAAGTAAGTGATACCACTCTAGCACTGTCCATCTCCTCCTTGAAATTTGCCTCCAGCTCCCATTATTTCCTCACTTGAAACGTAACAGTTCTGATCTGCTCTGGCCCTGATTGGTCTCCCTTCTCACTATGAAGCCTTTGGGTTTACAGGGTTTTTGTCCCCCCACCCCCACACATATACACGCATGTCCCCCGACTTATGCCTCTGGAATGAGGCCAAATTCTTACTGGGGCTCACACCAAGTGCATGCTTTGGTTCTCTTTTTTTCTATCTTTAGGCAAGCTCTGAGCGAAGTGACAGCAGCACTGCGGGAGCGGCTGCATCGCTGGCAACAGATTGAGATCCTCTGTGGCTTCCAGATTGTCAATAATCCTGGCATCCACTCACTGGTGACTGCCCTCAACATAGATCCCAGCTGGATGGGCAGTACACGCCCCAACCCTGCCCACTTTATCATGACCGACGACGTGGATGACATGGATGAGGAGATTGTGTCGCCCTTGTCTATGCAGTGTAGGTGACCTCTTTGGTGGGGATGAGGGAAGGAGTGCTTGGTGGATGAATTCAATCTGTGGCCTCTGCTGTGCTTAAGCGGTACATAGGGCAGATACCCAGGAAGACAGTTCAACTCATGAGTTTCATTAATAAGGCACAATTTGTGTCAGGAGATTTCTTTATAGCTGTGCCCCTATTGTGTAAGTGTATCCCTCTTTATTCTTTATTTTTCTTTTTCCTGTCCCCTTCCTACCTTATAAAAATGATCTCTTTTAGTGATTCGCAATGTAAAAATGGTATTAATTTTGACTGTTTGTTACATGTGTTTATTTTCATTTTATGGTCCTTATTTTTAATTGCTAAAGTAGCTGAATTGAGTTATCTTATTTTTAATTGCTAAAGTAGATGAATTGAGTGATCTCTGTTTCTCTGTGCCATTTTGTCTAAGTCTCAGTAGGTCCTTAAAGTGACCTAAAGCTTTCAAGCTGGAAGGGCGTCTTGCCCAGGAGGGTTCTTCTGCACAAGTGTGTCTGGCGTTCCACATGATTCCTTGAGCCTTCTTGCCATCTGTCCTGGGTCTCTCCTCTCCCTCTGTCCCCTGCAAGTGATGACAGTTAAGGAGGGCAAAACTGAAAGTAACAACATTTGGGGAATCCACTAATGACAAAAGGGATTTTTCTCTTTCTAGCTCACAGTTGAATTTTTCCTTGGATCAGAAGGTGTTGCACAGAAACAGTTGAAACAGTATAGTGAAGCTTGTGTCTTGGTTAAATAGCCTGTCGTTCACCCCACCACAAGCCTCTCCCCTCACTCTTCACTCCTTGAGCAGAGAGGAAGCAAAAAGACGGGATTGGGTTAGGAGCTTACTTTCTCAATGCTTTACTCAAGCTGGGTTCCTGCTCCAGGCAAATTATTTTTTTTTAAGGGCTTAATTATTTTTGTTGCAAAAGGCAGATTTATGGCAGATGAAGACGGAGATACAGAGATCTCCCATCTGCTGGTTCAATCCCCAAATGGCCACAATTACTGGAGCTGAGCCAATTCAAAGCCAGGAGCCAGGAGTTTCGCCTGGGCCTCCCACATTGGTACAGGGTCCCAAGGCCCTGTGGCATCCTCTGCTGCTTCCCGAGGCCATAAGCAGGGAGCTTGATGGGAAGTAGAGCTCCCAGGACACTAACCGGTGCCCGTAGGAGATCCTGGCACTTACAAGGGGAGGATTAGCCAACTGAGCCATTGCACTGGGCCCTCCAGGCAAACTTATTTACGAATTTCCTCAATGATTCTTTGCTTTTGGCCAAGCCTCTTTGTTTCTCTGCTTTAATATTTTAGCCAGGACTTCAGACAAAGGCCCAATCAGGTTCAGGCAACTTCCTAGCAGCACTTGATCCTTTGTGATCTAACAGCTCTTTGTCTCCAGGTTGGGAGGGACCTTTGCTCCCAGCCTTTGCCTATCCCATTGGTGGATAGGCTGAAGCCCCTCCGTAAATTAGATTCTCTTCTTTTGGCCTGGCTGTTGACCCTAGATGCTGCCTGGCTGATGGGGCGTAGGTTCAGTGATCGCTCTCTCTGCTCTGCATCCGTCGGCTCGGATGATCAGTCCCTCTGGAAATACCCGGGTTTGAGGAGCCCCTTTGGGGCTTTTGTTTTTCCAACGTTTGGGACTAAACCACACTCCTACCCCATGGGCACCTTCTCCTGCCTGTCTCACATTCCTTGCCTGCATCCTTCATCCCCTCAGCACTGTCCCTACTAACTGCAGGGAGAGGTTCGGGGGTGAGAAGAATCAGCCTGCTCAGCTGGGGGGCCGGAGGGAAAGCATTCACAGTGATGGGAAACTTGGGGCTCCCCACAGCCTGGTGACACAGACATCCTGGTAGCTCTTCCTCTGCCTGGGAGAGGAAGAAACAAGTGAAGTTCATCCTTCTTTTCTTTTTTTTCCTGCTTCTTTTTTTTTTTTTTTTCTCTTTGTCTCATCCTTCTGTCTCCCTCTTCTCTTTGCAATTCCAGGCTTCCTCTCCAATCTTCTCATGCCTTGAAAGCCACCAGCCTTAGGAGCCCTATCTGCCTAACTCTCCATCACTATTGAACTATTCTTTCTCTGGTGCCTTTCCAAGACTTCTGCTACTTTTGTAACCTGACCCTTTCTCCCATTTTCAGGGAGAAAGTAGAGTGATCCATCTATCAGAGTAGGAGTATAAAGGTCTGCCCCTACTTTTCAATTGGAGCTGGCAGTGATCCCAAAGGGGATGTTCTGGCACATTCTTAAGTTTCTTAATACCACTTCTGTGGGCACAGTGGCCATCACCAAGCATTGGATCCCTGTGTTTTATATTTTTTGAGGCAGTTTGAATATTATCCTAAAAGCTATTCATAGTCTCACCATATTTGAATAACCATTCTTTCAGTTTTTATGAAAACAATTTTTGAGGTTAAGATAATAATGACCACTGTAATTTATTGAGTTGTGCTAGGTACTTTGAACATGAGCTGTGTTAAGTACTCTGAAACAGTATTTTGAATAGTCAGAGCAACTCTCTAGGATTTTATAAAATGGGAATTAAAATGGAAAGTAAGTTTCTCAAGGCCACAGTTAGAAGTAGAAAGGCCTTGTTTCCTCCAGTGTTTTTGTTTCAGAGCTACAGGCTAAGAGACATCATCTTATATTCCTGTCGCCCTGAGAATTTAAATAAGCACTTTTTGTATTTTTAAAATCTCCAACTATCAGTTTTAATATATCTACAGGTGTATTTTTTCAATAGTAGGATGTATTATCATTTTCCCATTGTTTTACTTTTGTTTCCATACAACATATTAATAATGGTGTTATAACACACTTCTATATAAGTCCTTGACTAAGTTGTGAATTATATTTTGAAGTGGGCTTCCTGAAAAGGCTGATTCTTAGTGCTCTCCCGGACCTTGCTCCAAGCCCTTACCCTACCCTGCCCTGCCTGTGTCCTACTAACGGCCTTGGCCCCTCCCTTTTATAGTGACCTTGCCCTGTGTCTCCCTCCGTTGGAGTTGCCACGAAAACTGACCCAGACACCTTTCCAATTCCCCTTCCTGTCAGGAGTCCTGGTGGGAGGACGTGGGAGGAGTTGCCCAGTTTTTCAGATTGGGCATGAAATAAAGGCCCAAAGTAGCAGGCAGTGTTCAATGGGTTTCTGCCTGCTTGCCTGCCAGCTCAAAGTAGGTTGGCCCTTTCTTACACTTTGTTTGCTCTCCTTGCAGCCCCCAGCCTGCAGAGCAATGTCCGGCAGCGCCTGACGGAGTCACAGCATGGCCTGGGATCTCAGAGGTTGGTAGAGGGCGAGGCTGGCCACTTCTTGACAAGCCGGGTATCTCTGCGGCGAATGCGCAGCCTCTCATCTGGACAGTCTTTCAGTTCTGAAGGCCACGGGACCAGTCCTCCATCCACCTCTGCTTCTTCTTCCTGCTCCTCTTCCACCATCACTACTACCACCACCGCCACCACCACCACCACCATCACCACCGTCCATGTCCACCCTGTTTATTACCACCACAGCACTTCCTATTTCCTCCAGATGGAGCCCTACCCTGACCCACCCCCTCCTGACAGCACCGCTGTGATGCCTGGGCATTCAGAGAGCTTGGGGTATCAGCTGTCTCTCTTCTCTTTCTTCCTTCCCCTTCTGCTGCTTTTAGCTCGGCTGCTGCCTGCTGGCTCCTGCTTGGTCAACTCTGGGGAAGGTGGGGCATTGTGCACTGGGAAATCTTCTTACCTACCCTTTCTAGCTCTGGGACTCCTTTTTAAGGTCAGCATAATCCTCACATTTTTCTCACCTTCTCTGTTTGGGTTTTGTTGACTCTAAAAATGAACAGCACTCCACTTTCCTCGTGATTTTATGCCACTTTTGCCTAAACTGCTAGTTCTCTCAGTAGGGCCTCCACTTCCTTTACTCCTTCAGTAAATATTTATTGATATCTGCTCTGTGCCTGGCTGTGCTGGGCATGGAGATTCATAGATAATAGCTGGGATTCTAAGAACTACAGTCTGGTCTGGGAGAGGTCCACAGTAATAGAGTACTTGATAATTGCTATAGGGGCGTCAAGGAAGAAATGACTAACGTGTGACTGGTAGAATGTTTCACAATGCTATCACACTACGTGCAGGGCAAGGGTATTGAGTATTCTAAGCAGAGGAAATATTATGTGCAGAGGCATGAGGTTGCAAGACCCGATGAAATACTTGTGGTTAGAACATCGGATATATGCTGGTGGGAAGTTCTCAGAAGCAGATGAAGTTAGAATGATGAAGGGATCTGAAGTGCTATGGCTGTGGCCTTTAGAGGTAGAGAACCGAAAGAAATTTAGTCAACCACATTTGCATCTTAGAATAACAGTTTAAGCTTCTCTATTCAGAAAGGAAAGGGAAAACTACTGGAGTTTTAAAAGTCATACCATAGACCAGTAGGGGCGGTAATGTAGGGATAGAAGAGAGTTGATTAATCCGGCAACTTTCTGTGGGCACGAGGAAAGAGAAGGATCTTGTAGACAGGTAGATAACTGAATGAATATAGTATCCTTTATAGAATTAGAGAACAGAAGAGATTTGGGGTTTTGGATGAGAAAATGTATAGAATAGATGTTAAAATATTCATTTTCAGAGTAGAAAGTTAAGGTTTTGAAAGATGAAGTAATTTTACCCCAGTTTCAACAGCTGAACAGGCAAGACAAAAACTTGGCTCTTCATTCTAGGATACTATTGGATATTTGTAAATCCTTCTATATGATCTCAATAAATACGCAGGAAAATAATTGGTAAAAAGCTTTCTCCCATAGTATAGAAGCTTCAGAAAATTTCCCTGTTGATACTTTATGATAGGCCAGGGTCAGAGATAGTTATTCTTGACCTTGGCTAGAACAAACTCAGAAAATCCCTCCTTTCAAGAAGGACCAGTCAGTCCTTGCCCTTGGGCTGCAGCCTGCTTACTCTGTTGCTTTCTTTGAGTGCTGTTTCATTGTGTATCCATATCTGTAGTTCTGCTCCTTGAGCCTCTGGATAGTTATCCTTGAGGGATGTTCCTTTGTATTCTACAAAGGGACTGTCCTGACCAGGATCTACTCAGCAGAGCTGTTCACATTCATTATCATCACCATTTTCATCCAAAATCCTAGGAAGGGAACCTGTCCTCTCCAGTACATATGGAGAGGTCTGAAATGGGCTGTGGAAACTGGTGGCTGCAGGGAATCTCATGCTGTCAGGAATAAGTTGAGGGCAGTGGGGAGGGAACGGGGGAGGTACCTGCATCCACCTGGTCCATTCACTACTTAATTTTCTTTTATGTCATGCACCAGAGGATCATCTCTAAAGACAAACAGGCTCTCTAGTAAGGTTAGTAGCTTGGGATGGGAGTTCAAGGCAGCCTAGCCTTTGGGGAAGCAAACTCATGGTCTCAATGATGTCATTCAGGAAGAGGAAGTGAGCCTGCCTCAGTGGGTATTTTCCTCTCTATATCTACCCAGTCTTCCCCTCAGTCCTCATCTTGCCTTGGCAGTGTCAGCTTTTAGTTGGTGAGGAAAGTACAGGAGGATGGAAATCAAGGCTGAATGGGGCTGTGATTCAGAGGTGAGACTCAGAGGGCTCCAATCTCTTGACCTCTCTTCCCTGGTGTCAATAAGGTAGGGTCCTAAGGTCCTTAGCTAAGAAAGCTCCCTTTTGTCAGTGTGGTTGCTCCCCAGAACTTCCTTGGCACCTTATTCAGTGACTTACTGTACATGTGGAGAAGACCAGATATGGGGAGGACCATTTTTAGGGCTTTCGTGAAATAAGAGCACATTTATATGGAAGCCTGGACAGTATCAGACATGAGAAACCAAAATCGAGACTGAGCATCTTTAAGCCGTAGCGTCCCTGACTGAGACAGTATTTGTAGTATAGAAACTAGAGCTGAAATTATTCTCTGTTACCTTCCAAATCCAGGAAGGTTCTAGCCCATGATGTATCTGCTTTTTCAGGTGACTTAGACTGTAATTTAGACCTGCAATAGCTAAGACATACTCTCCTGCTTTTGCTTGTTTCAGGGACTTGGCTGCCACCCTAACTTCTGACTCTCAGCCTCTCCCTTTCTAAGTCCTGTGGTGCTCTCCTCTCCTACTCATGACTTTGTCTGGTTAACTCCTTGACTCAGATGTTTAAAAGTCCCTTAGCCCTCTCCCCTGCCTATGCTGTGGGTTCTTAGGCTGCTGGGAAAACATAAGGATTCAGGATTGGAATGAGACCCCAAAATCCTTCCTTTTTTCTGCAGAGGCAGGAGCACTGGCATCAAGAATTGGTTCATGGTTCTTGCTATGAATAGCCAGCCTTTGAAGAGCCTCCAGTTCTTGGACTGCTAGCCTTTGTGTGTGCATGTCCAGTGTGCAGTGGCATGTACCCACAACTCAGCCTTGCAAAGAAACCTCTGGAAACTGGTCCCCATATTAGCCTTACAGATTGGCTGGCCTCATAATTTTCATTCCCAGAATACTTTCTATATTTCCAACTCCCTTTCCCACATATTTGGTCCTTTAAATAGTCTTGCAGAAATGATGGAGTTGGTATTATTTTGTTTCATTGGGCAAAAATGGAGGCTCAGCAAAGTTAGATTTGTTGAAGATCACACGGAAGACTCTGGTGTTCTTTTGAACTACTTCTCTTTAGAGGCCAACATCCTGTCTCTCTACACCTGTTCCTTTTCTCCCTGTCAGCAAAACTCTGAAAGTGACCCCACCCTTCCTGCCATCACCGCAGACTGTGGCGTAAACTCTGCAACACTTCTTTATGACTTTTGTGTCCTGTGAAAGAAATGATTGGAAGAGACAGAATCCTGGCCTTCTGGGGGTGGGTGAGGAATTGTTTGCAAGGCTGTTCTAACCACCTCTACTCCCCCAGTCTGGGTCAGACCCACTGACTGCATGTGCCCTGTGTCTTGGGGTCTGGCCCACAGTGGATGCATTCCCTGTTGACAGGTGTTAGTTGGGGAGGAAGAGACGGAAAGTTATGACTGACAGTATAGCTAGGTTCTGTGTTTGCCTGAGTGGAGTCCTAGGAAATCTAGCCAGTTATGGGATAACAGAGCTTTTATTGAGGAGGATGCCTGTGGAATTTGAGCTTATAGTTGTCAGTTAAGACCCTGGGTATATAGCAGGGATGGGTGCCAGGCATTGGAAAGCCCTTTGCTGGACATATGATGGTATACTGACATTTGTTTTTGTTTCTTGTTATCTTTCTTTTCTTCCTATCACTTTCTCCTTTCTGTCTCTCCATGGTTGTTCTTATTTCTACCTGATTTTCTTTTTGCTTTTCTTTCTCCACAATTCTATTCTCCTTGGTTTCTTCTCCAATCTGTCACCATCTCCTAATCCTGTTCCCTCTTTTATTGTGCCTTTATGGCTTACTCAACTTCTCCTGTCTTTTCATTTCTTTCTCTGCTCCCACCTCCCTGTTTATCCCATTTCTCTCTCATGCCTATGTACCCCCATTTTCCTATCCTGTCCTTGTCTTATTATGTTATCCCTCTCTCTCAACTCCTATATCCTGGCTATGTATATTTCTCTCTCTTTTCTTCTTTCCTTCCTTTCTCTCTCTCTCTCTCTCTTTTTTTTTTTTTTTGTCCCCTGTCTTGCAGGGATTTGACCCATTCCGATTCGGAGTCCTCCCTCCACATGAGTGACCGCCAGCGAATGGCTCCCAAACCTCCTCAGATGGTCCGCGCTGCAGATGAGGTTCTCAATGCCATGATTTCCAATAGCAGCCACCGGCTGATTGAGGGGGTCCACCCAGGGCCTCTGGTGGAGAAACTGCCTGACAGCCCTGCCCTGGCCAAGAAGACAGTACTAGCGCTGAACCACGGGCTGGACAAGGCCCACAGCCTCATGGAGCTGAGTCCCTCGGCCCCGCCTGGTGGCTCTCCTCATTTGGATTCTTCCCATTCTCACAGCTCCAGTTCCCCAGACCCAGACACACCATCGCCAGCTGGGGACAGCCGAGCTGTGCAAGCCAGTCGCAACACACGCATTCCTCACCTGGCTGGCAAGAAGGCTGTGGCTGAGGAAGATAATGGTTCAATTGGTGAGGAGACAGACTCCAGCCCAGGCCGGAAGAAGTTTCCCCTCAAAATATTTAAGAAGCCTCTGAAGAAGTAGGCAGCATGGAGGTGGCAGTGGTGGAACAGCTTGTCCTTCCCTGAGTCTTCTGCCTCTTCTTCCCTCCTTTCAAGATATCTATGCTAGAGTGGGGTATGGAGGGTCTGGCTCAGGGGCCTGGGCACTGTAAAAATCCACCCCCTCATCCTTGGGTCCTTCATCATTATTTATTAACTAAACCACCATGGCCTGCCTGCCCTGCCTCCTCCCACCGTGGGCTGCTGCTGCCACCCTTCCCACTTCAGTGCATGTCTTAGTTGCTGTTCCCTCAGCTCCCAGCTCCACCTCTGGGGTCCAGCTTCTGTCTTTGCAGTCCCAATTTTGAGGTTTGATTTTTTTGTTGTTGTTTTGTTTTTGTTTCCCGCTTTCAGGCTTTTACCTTCCACCACTCCCCAACTTCCCCTAGCAGTTTCAGGGAAGATAGGAATAGTAACTCTGACCTCTGTGCCTCTGATCTGAACCACCCCACCCTCAGTGGTTTCTTTTGCCACAGACTGGGACCTAGGGCCTAACCTTTGGGATTTGTTCTTCAGGAGTGTGGTGGGCCAAAGCTAGAACCTCATCTTGGAGCTCACTTAGGCCTCCCAGCACCCATGGGAGAGTGAAAGCAATTCTCAGAGAACAAGCCACCAAAGAATTTTGAGAGGCTTGGCTTGGGACTGCATTGGGAAGATGTGCTTTGGTTAGTGGATGCCAGAGCAGTAGGCTATGAGGCAGTCACCCTTTGTTTTCCTGCCCACTCCTGCCTCCCTCTACCCCTGCTCTGCCATACTGCAGAAGGGTTTGTCTCTAAGAGGTGCTGCCGTAAAGCTCCCCCAGAATCAATACTCAGAGTATTGGCTCCCCTGGCATGAAGTCCATATCTGTGACACAGGGCTGTGAAGGAGCTCTGGGTATGTTGCTTTTGAGCCAAAAGATAGAGTTTAAATGTAAGAAAAGAAATATCCTGAATTTCCCAAGTGCCTGCACCACATACTCCTCTTGTCAGACCCCATTTTTATGTTACTGCATAGCCTGGGCCAGAGGCTTAAAAGTGACACAGTTGGTTTGGGGAAGGGGTGTCTAAGGAATCTGGTGTAGGTGAAGGTGGCTGTGTTACTTCCCCCTCCCGCTCCTCTAGCCAACTCTCCCTTACCTGTTTTTGCTATGGCTGTAAAGGTATTTTCCCTCTGCCCCACTCCCTGCCACGCCTTTACCCGGGGATCCTTTTTTTGGGTCTGGAGTGGGTGCACCTGGGGCTGGTTTTCAGAGGGTGCTGGGCTGCAGACTGCCTTGTACTCTCTGGAAACCTCACATGGGTTTTTCTGTGTTAATTCATAAGACTCTTTGAAGTCCAATAAAGCATGTAGGAGATTTTAACCTTCGTTGGCTCTGACTCTCATTATATTCTTTCTGTAGTTTAACAGACAGGGGTTGAAGAAAAGACTTACTTCTTTTGCCAAGGCAAAATAAAACTTGAATGCACATGCCCAGAGCTTTTCTGGATTGGGTTACATAATAGCCTAATTAAATTTGAGTTTCAGATAAACAGTGGATACTTTATTGCTATGATTGTGTCTCATGCAGTATATAGGGCATTTAAAAAAATTCACTAAATCTGGTATTTTTAGTTTTGGGCCACTTTGATGCTGTTGTATAGCTTCACGTATGATCTCCATGGATTTTAGAATGCTTTCACTGGGAGTGGGTGTTGTGGCATAGTGAGTGAAGTAGTCACTTGGAATGTCCTTATCCCATATCTGAGTGCCTGGGATTTTAAATCCTGCCACAGCTCCCTACCAACACTCACCTGGGGAGGTAGCAGGTGATGGCTCAAGTTCTTGGGTACCTGCCATGCAAGTGGGACACCTGGATAGAGCACCAGCACCTGGTTTCAGGCTTGCTGTTGAAGGACTTTGGGAGTGAACCAGAGGATGGGAGATCTCTATGTTGCTTTACCTTTCAAATAAATACATGAAAAACTTAAAAGCCACAGGAAGCTTGGGCAAACATTTGGAGGAAGGCAGTGATGAGGAACCAATGAAGTTTTGAAAGGTTTCCTGGATGGTGATGGTTGCCGTAATAACCTGAGCATGGTGGAACTTGCTTTGAGCTGAACCTCTTGCTGCATCCCAGAAGGACGGAATTCTGGCGGGCACCTGAGGCAGTGAAATCACCGCTCCACCAATGAAGGCCCAAAGAGACCCCCACTTAAGCTTCCATGTCAAGAGGGGTTTAAGACCCTCATGCTGGTTCTTCCTGGTTCTTTCTCCTCTGTAGCCCTCTCCTTCAACATCTGTCTTTTTGCCTCATGGGGAAGGGAAACCTGTGACCGTGGTTCCCTGGAATAAAGACCATCTAAATTCTCTTTTTATATTCAGCTGAAGTATTCTTTCCCTGGTGGTCGGCAAATCTTACATTTGGTGTTTGGTGAATCTAATTGGCACAGATGACATTTTGTAAGGATCATTTCAGGTAGCTCAAATCAGACTCTGCATTAGCCTGGTACATTAGGAACTCTCATGTCTTACTTTTCATATGCAGTCAAGTCCATCCTACCTCCTCAGGTTCACATAAGTGCCTATTGCTGCCTCTGCCCCCATCCACTGGAGAACTGTGAAAGCAAACAAATCATGGTTCTGCCTTCTTGAAATTCACAGGATTCCTGTATTTCAGTCAGGAAAAAGTCTAACATTTTTCCAACACTACTAAATGTCAGACAGTGATCTCTAGCTGCACCATCCCAGGACAGAATCCATATCACATAGCAAACTTGGGAGTTAGCATCCCAAAGCAGTCCAAACAAGAAATGGGAAGAGGCAGGATTGTGTCACAACAGCTTGTGCCATCGCTTAGGATGCTTGCATCCCATTGTGGAGGTCCCATCCATTTGCATCTACTCAGCTTCCCAATAACGTGCCTCTTGGGAGATTGCAGGTGATAGTTCAGGTATTTGGACCCCTGCCATCTAGTGGGAGACCCGAATGGAGTTCCAGGCTCCAGGTTTCTCCTGGACCCAGTGCCAGTGGTTGCAGCAACTGGAGAGTGGATCAGCGGACCCATGATCTCTTCATTTCCTTGTTTCCTTCCTTCCTTTTTGTTTTTCTTTTAAAAGAGATGTATTTTTATAAGAAAGGCAGATTTACAGAGAGGAAAGAGATTTTGCATCTGTTGGTTCACTCCCCAAATGGCTGCAACGGCTGAAGCTGAGGTGATCCGAAGCCAGGAAGCAGGAGCCAGGAGCTTCTTTCTGGCTTCGCATGCGGGTGCAGAGTCTAAAGGCTTTGGGCCATGCTTTCCCAGGCCACAAGCCGGGAGCTTAGTTAAGTGGTGCAGTCGGGACACTAAGGTGTGCTCTTATAGGACTGCGGCGCTTGCATGGTGGGGATTTAGCCATTAAACCGTCGCGCCGGGTCTCTCTCTCTCCCTCTGCATTTCAAAGAAACCTTACAAGGAAAAAAAAAAACAGGAAAAGTATTCTGGGTGGCTGATCTTTGTCTAGACCAGGGTTGGGTCTCCAAAGGCGAGGGACCAGGCCTGGCGGGCTCCGTCAGCTTCGTCAGAGCCGGGAGGCGGGGTTCGGCTTTACCCACACACAACATGGCGGTGCAAGCCTACCGTTCCTGGGAGAAGAGGTTCAGTCTCCTGGGCCTTGCCCATACTCAACATGGCGGCGACGGGTCGTGGGTGACTTTGTATAGTCCTGCCCATTTTCCGCTTGGCGCTGGCACTTACGACTGACGTCGCTGGAGCTGTCGCTCCGCTGTGTGCGTCACGGGTGGCGGGAGCGCGAAAGGGTTCGGATTGTCGCGCGTCTGCTGTGGTGGGAAAGTGCCTCCTGCTCCCAAGTGCAGTCCCCGCGCCGGATCAGCCCCGGGAGTTCACCCGCCGCTCCGCGTCCCGCAGGCGCCTGAGAGCTGCAGCTGTGTCTCGAGTCGTCCGGCGCCTCAGCCATCAGCAGCGATGCATGTGATCAAGCGAGGTGAGGGGCCCCTGACGGGCAGCAGGGTGGGTGAGGGGGCCGCGGGGCTGCAGCTGCGCCAGCCGAGCCCAGGCAGCCGCCGGCGCTTCCCGCCCTCGCTGCCCTTCCCGCCGCCGCTTCCCGCCCTGTCAGCAGCTCTGCCCCGCTCCACCTCCTGGCCGTCCGCTCTGCGCCCCCCTCGCCTGGGTCGGCCGGCCCGCAGACCGCCGAGCATTTTGTAGACACGCTTTAAAAAAAAAATTAGCTCCACTTCTCAGATGCCTAAACTGAGGCCAGTGAGGTTTCGGTGACTGACCCAAAGTCACCCAGCTGGCTGATGGCAAGGCCAGGCTTTGAACCCCGAAGCTGACAACGGGGTTTTCTCTCAGAGCCGTGGGATGAAAGAAGGGGCTCTGCCCTACACGGGCGCACCTCATGTTCCACAGCTCTTTTGTGGGGGTTGAGGGAGGGATGTGGAATGAAAGAACCAACCAACAAACTCAAAACAGATAAGCGAAACAAACAAACAAAACCAGGTCCCGGACCTTGACAACATGTTGGGGTTTGCTCCGTTGCCCCGAGCTTGGGGCAAAGACCAGCCATCCACCAGCTCCCATCTGCCCAGGGGCAGAGATTGCTACTGAATCAAAGCAGGTGGCTTATGGGGACTGGCGAGTGCCAGAAACTGTATGCATACCTCGTGACTTTTCAATCTTTCATTTCTAAAAGACGATTATTTTCATTTTGCCTGAGAGATCCTCTATCTACTGGCTCACTCTCCATAGAATCTTTTTTGTGTCCACCCGTTTGCTTTGTTCTGTGAGAGTCTTAAGAGGGGACAGTCCCTGGTCTCCTTTGGAAGACCATTTAATCAAGTAGGAAAAGTAAGAATGACAGTAGCAGCAAATGAGACAAGTACAGACAAGTTTTGAGTGCAGTCAATTCAAAATGATGGCGATTTCATAACTACTGACCGGATTGGTTGACTGACTGTTTCTGCTTTGTCCAGTAGGCTGTGGGCATTTCAAAGACTCAGACTGCTGCTGATATGTAGCATTGTGTCAGCGATGACTAAGTGCTCCAACAGTGCATGGGAGGAGTTAAATCAAGATGTAATAGGATGAGTGCTGTGGTAGGCACACGGAGTTGACTTAAGCCAAGGGCTGGAGAGGTAGACAGTGGTGTTCCTTCTTGTTTTTAGTAGCTTCAGAACATCCTTTTCTAAATTCCCTTCCCCTCCTCCCTTTTAGCTGTTAGGCCAGAGGCTGAAATACATAGTGAACTCTGACTGAATTACTCCTGTGGGCAATGAGTGTCCTGTTTTAAGCCTTAGGGAAGGAATGTTGAGCAGGATCTTACGGTAAGTCAGTTACAGTTGAACTGAAAGCAGGTAGTAACCCTGCGTTTGGTTTTTGACCTGTGGGATCTACTCTGGAACACTGTACTTTAAAAAGGACCATCTAGGGCCCGGCGCGGTGGCGCAAGTGGTTAAAGGTCCTCCCCTTGCACGCCCGGGATCCCATATGGGCGCCGGTTCTAATCCCGGCAGCCCCGCTTCCCTTCCAGCTCCCTGCCTGTGGCCTGGGAAAGCAGTCGAGGACAGCCCAAAGCTTTGGGACCCTGCACCCGCGTGGGAGACCTGGAAGAGGCTCCTGGCTTCGGATCGGCATAGTATCGGCCCGTTGCACTCACTTGGGGAGTGAATCATCGGACGGAAGATCTTCCTCTCTGTCTCTCCTCTCTGTATATCCGCCTTTCCAATTAAAAAAGAATAAAAATAAATCTTTAAGAAAAAAAAATAAAAAGGACCATCTACACGCTGCTCTGAAGCCAGAGTCGTTTTTGTTTTTGGTCCTTTCAGAGGATGTCATTTGATCCAGAGGGCTTATGCTCCAGATTCTGCCATTGGAGCCTTCAGCAAAGTTTAATATTAAAAATGTTAGATTTGTTTATTTTACCTTAGGCGCATAGAATGTCTTATGTTTGGCATATTGAAGTAGCAGCCTAACTGCTGTGGTTTTTTGTTCATTTTAGTGTAAGTATTCAGGAGGTGGCTAGGAATTGACTGTCAAGGACTAGCTGCATTTGATATTAACATGTTGTGCAACATTGAAGAATAAAGGGAGAAGATAGCTGTATGTTAAAATTGCTCAAGTTTTAGGAATTATTCACATGAGAAGAGAGAACAAATGGGAATAATGGGTGGGTTTTTCTCATCTGCTATCTTGAAATACTTTTCTCTAATGGGACATTTTCACTACTCAAAATTAGGTTTTTAAAATTAGGTTTTTGAGTTAGGGGCAAGTACCATGGCTCAACAGGCTAATCTTCCACCTTCAAGCACTGGCATCCCATATGGGTGCTGGTTTGTGCCCTGACTGCTCCGCATCGCATGCAGCCCCCTGCTCGTGGCCAGGAGGAAGCAGTAGAAGATGACCCAATGCATCCATGTGGGAGGAAGCTCCTGGCTCCTGGCTTCAGATCAGCTCAGCTCTGTCCGTCATGGCCATTTGTGGAGGAACCAGTAGATGAAAGATCTTTCTGATCTCTCCTCTCTGGAATTCTACCTTTCCAATAAAAATAAATAAATCTTTATGTGTAAAAACAAGAAAATTATGCTCTAATGAATGGGTAGGGAGAGTCACACTATACAAACGTGAAAATAAAATACAGCAACAGATCAGATGGTGACAAATGCTACGGAGAAAGATTTGTATAAAAGGGGAAAGGAACTATAGAGAGTAAGGTTATGTTGGGAGAGTTGTAACTTAAAGTAGGTCATCAGGGAAAGTTTTATGGAAAAGGTGACAGGGAACAAATACCTAAAGGAGGTGTAGAAGCAAGGAGGCTACCAGGGTAATAAGACAGAAAGGTAGAAAGAAGAGTAAGAGGTGAGAGGCTGGTGTGGTGGTATTTCACGGTGATCCTTTGCCTGCCGCACTAGCATCCGTATGGATGCCTGTTCTTGTCCCAGCTGCTTCATTTCCTGTCCAGCTCCTGGCTATTGGCCTGGGAAAGTGGCAAAGGATGGCCCAAGTCCTTGAACCCCTGCAGCCACACGGGAGACCCAGAAGAAGCTCTTGGCTCTGCCTTGTGATCAGCCCAAACCTCACTAGTGGAGCCATTTTGGAAGTGAACCAGTGGATGGAAGATCCTTCTCTCTGTCTCTCCCTCTCTCTGTAATGCTGACTTTGAAGTTAAATAAGTCTTTTCTTGGTATGAGTGGGGGTGGGGAAGAAGTGTAACAGGGCTGGTTGGATGGAATTCTATGGGCTAACTTTGGTAATTAATTTGACTTTTGTTTTGAAGGAGATGGGATACAACTGTTAGACATTTTGAGGAGAGTAATGAAGGATTTTGACTTAAGTCTTAAACGATGGTTCTGATTTCCATGTTGGTAAAGATAGGGAAATATTGTTGGGAAATTACTGCAAGAATCTATCTGATTACAACGTAAGGAAAGAGAAGAACTTAAGAGTGCAGTCTGATTTCTGAGTGCAAACAAAATCCTCTCAGTCTAGTGGAGTCCAGGAAATAGCATTTCACATTAATTACATTTGATCATTACATGTTGCCATCCTATTAAATGCTGATATGAATTGTATGGTTTCGTTCTTCAGATGGCCGCCAAGAGCGGGTTATGTTTGACAAGATCACGTCTCGGATCCAGAAGCTTTGTTACGGACTCAATATGGACTTTGTTGACCCTGTAAGTAAATCTTGGTATTTTGGTTTTTCTTGAGTTTCTTTTTTTTTTTTTAAGATTTTACTGATTTTTATTAGAAAGGAAGATTTACAGGGAGAAGAAGAGACAAATATCTTCCATCTGCTGGTTTATTTCCCAAATGGCCATAATGCTGAAGCTGAACTGATCCAAAGCCAAGAGCTGGGAGCTCCCTCTGGGTCTCGAAGGGTTTCAAGAATCTGGGTCATTCTCTGCTGCTGTCCCAGGCCATATGCAGGGAGCTAGATGGAAAATGGAGCAGCTGGGACATGAACCAGTGCTCATATGGGATCCAGGCTCTTGAAGGGGAAGGATTAGCCAGTTGATTAGCCCCATTGCACTGGGCCCGTGTTTTTCTAGAATCTTGTCTTTCAAATCTGCTTTCCTCATGGATTCTAATATCTAAGAACTCTTTTTCCAAACTTACCCATATTGCTGGGTACTACCATAACAACCCTGTTGACCTCATAGTTTTAACTACATAGTACAGAAATGGTCTGTCTGTCTTAGAGTTGAGGATGGGCAGTATCTTATGCTTGTGACAGCCACAGTGTTTGACATGCATTTAATCAGTAAGCTGATAAATGTTTACCGACTAAAGTAAACTTCAGTCAAAATAATTTTATGCAACTTTAAAATGTGGTTGTTAAAAAATAAATAAAATGTGATTAGTGTAAATTCTTTTTTAGACTTTCTTAGCAAATAGCTAACATTGAATTAAAGTTGAGTGAGAGTTTTAGAATGAAAGGTCAAAGAAAAAAGGGAGTCATTTGTTTAGTGGGAATGCAGGAAGAAAAGCCCATGTTTCTCGACTCCTAAATGTTCTTTTGGCTAACAAAATACCACATTTCCAAGTGTAGATATGGTATGATGGACTCAACTTCCTCGGGTAAAATCTATTGAGAAAGTCTGTATGCTGTTAGATCTGGCAGAGTTAACAAACTGATGTCATTTTATTCTAATTACTTACCTTGTAGCCCCAGAAGCATTTTTATACTTAATAAAATTATTTGATGTATCTATGAAGAAAAATCATAAGGAACAAAATGGGCTTAGCTATATTCTAAAGAGAAAAGATTAGAAGCTATATAATACTAGTTTATCTTTTTGAGAAGGGTACACTTTGATCAGATGAAAAAATTCAGTTCTGCTTATTAAACTATTTTCAGATATTCAGGAAACACAACATTTGATTTGTTAAAAATAAATGATGATGACTTGGGCATTGTGTGTTTTAAAAAGTTATTATTTAGTCTTGAAAAACAGTGAAATGCAGTGAGGTTTGATGGAATTTGGAGCCAGCAGACTTGGGGAGTGTGTTTCTCAGCTTTTCATCTCTGACATTTTTTAGGTAGATAGTTATTAGGAACACCATTTGAGATTCAAGAGCACGACTCTGGCTGAGGTCTGGTGAGTGCCCTCTCAGGCTGTCACATCATGGCACATAGCACTGGGTGGACTGTGTGTGGGCAGAAACTGCTGTATTTTTAATAAGAAGCCAAAGGGCTGAGTTGAACCAGGCTCAGCCATTTCTATCCATCTTTCTGGAGAAATACCTTATTGTTTTTCCAAGAGCAACACCCTCAGTCCAGCAAGGACTTCATGCTAGGTAGGTTTCTTGTCTTAAAGTTCCTATGCTCTTCAACACTGCCATGGCAACCAAGCTCCCAACCCATGAACTTTTGGGGCCTCAGTTAAACTATATCCAAACCATGGTAGTGTTATCTTGGGCAAGTCTCAATAACCTGAGCTTTAGTTTCCTCATGTAAAGCGTGAATGTAATACTACTCAGTTCACAAGATGTAAAACATCAAAGATTATTAGAGTAGAAATATTTATAATTTGTGAAGTGTTTAAGAGTAGTTGGGGCCAGTGTGGTGCATGGGAAGCTGGTTCTTTACCTGAAACATCAGTATCATATGGGTGCCAGTTCATGTTCCTGCTGCTCCCCTTCTGATCCAACATCCTGCTTGTTGCCCTGGAAAGCAGCAGAGGATGGTCCAAGTCTTGGTCCCCCTGCATCCACTTGAGAGACCTGGAAGAAGCTCCTGGTTCCTAACTTTGGATGGGCTCAGCATTGGCCATTGCAAATGAAAAATCTGTCTCCTTCTTTCTCTATAAAATCTGCCTTTCAAATGAAAATAAACAAAATCTTAAAAGAAAATCATTCATTAGATTATCAAATTACTTAATTTCAAATATATTTCAGACCTTCATCTCCTTAATTGGAATGGCTAAAATTCTATTTGTTTTCTTGTACTTGTTCATAGGAAGAATTTAGGGGAAAGTGGGTGAGTATGCAACTGGCGGCCTCATCACATTGGGAGAATTTAATTGGAAGATGGAGGAATGCTTATAGAATCTTTATTCTCTTTTCAGCTATTTCCCTGTGAGACCTAGTTATTTTAAAATATTTATTTATTTTCATTTTATTTGAAACACACACACACATCCACACACAGAGAGAAAAAGACTGAAAGATCTTCTATCCATGGATTTACTGTAGATGTTCACAAAAGCCAGAGCTAGGCCTGGTGGAAATTAGGAGCCTGACAGTTGAGCTGGGGTCTCCCAGGTGTGTGAGGTGTGCTGCCTCCCAGAGAGCACATCAGCAGGAAGCTAGATTGGAAGCAGAGTTAGCTGCCACTCCAGATGGATATTCTGATGTGGAATGAGGGTGTCCCAAGCTGTGTCCTTACTGCTCTAGTAAAACCTGCTCCAAGACTTAATTTTTACACTTGGTTCTAATTTTAAGTAATGCTTCAGTGTGTGTGTTGTGTACCCTTGCTGGCAGCTCTGTTGGTTTCTGGATTCTCATTACCCAGTTCCTGCAGCTTGCTGTTCTGACTAGCCATTTTCAGGCAAAGAAGCTGTCTGTTTTATGATGATTTAAATATGATCCTTTCCTTACTTGTTCCTTTCAGGAAGCTGTTGTTTCTTGGGAAATTTACTTCTTAAACTTTTGCATTTGTAGGCTCAGATCACCATGAAAGTAATCCAAGGCTTATACAGTGGAGTCACCACAGTAGAATTGGATACATTGGCTGCTGAAACTGCTGCAACCCTGACTACGAAGCACCCCGACTATGCCATCCTGGCAGCAAGGATTGCTGTCTCCAACTTGCACAAAGAAACAAAGAAAGTGTTCAGCGGTGAGTCTGGAGTGAAAAAGTTAGGAGGAACCTAGTATTCCCAGAAAATGAATAAGGGTAATGGAAAGCAACCTTGGTTGTCAAAAGGAAAGTTGCATCTTGTTTCAAAAAGCCAATGTGCAAACTAATGTACAAGGCCAGACAGGAACTTTTTTCCTGTGCTGCTGACATGCTGCATGGAAGGGTCAGTAGAGTCTTGGTCTTTATGCTTTTCAAAGTCCATCTTTAAGCAGATGGTGCTTAGTTTGGAAAGTATATCTATGGTCAAATTTAGGATTAAATAGAATGTTAAAAATTTATGTTTTGTCATTAGTAGCCAAATATTTCCTTTTCCACCCTTCATTTTGTAACTCGGGCAATGTGGGCAAAGGAGGGTTAACTGTTTTTTACAGTCTCTAAGAAACCAGTGAATAGATTAGAAATGTTTTGGCTGTCAATCCCAGATCTAGTCGTTTGGACCTAAAACCTTACATCTTGGGTCAGGTGCAATGGCTCAGTGGCAAAATCCTCACCTTGCACACACCAGGATTCCAAATGGGTTCTGGCTTATGTTCCAGCTACTCCACTTCCCATTCAGCTCCCTGATTATGGCCTGGGGAAGCAGTGGAGGATGCTGAAAGTCTTGGGACCCTGCATCATATGGAAAACCAGGAAGTAGCTGCTGGCTTCTGGTTTCAAATCAGAGGAACCAGTGGATGGAAGATCTTTCTGTCTCTCCTTCTCTGTAAATCTGCCTTTCCAATAAAAATAAATAAATGTTAAAAAAAAAAAAAAACTTCTTCCCTCTTCAGTAGATTTATTATTCATCAGTAGATTCAACTTGGTCCCAATCAAAATGCCAGCATTAATATGGATGTAAGGCTTATTCATGCATGCAGAGGGCCCAGTATTGCTATGGTGTCTTCAAAAAGAGCAGAGGAAGAGAGTTTGCTAAATAGATATTTATAAGAGTGAATTGCTTAGGATGAGTTTTAAGTTGAGTTTCTGTTATGTTAGAATAAAAAACAATTAAAAGAGATTGCCAGCTTTGCATTTTCTTACTTTGATGCTATAATTTTCAGTGAGGGTGGATGTCAGAATCACCTGGAAATATTTTTCAAAAAAATTATTTTTTAGTATTTGTTTTATTTACTTGAAAGAGAGAGAAAGAGACAGCTCCCATCTACTGGTTTACTCCCAGGTATCCTCAACAGCTAGGCTGGGGCCAGGAGAAAGCTAGAAGCCAAGAGGTCCGTGCAGGTCTCATGTAAATGATAGGGGACTGAGCATCGGAGCCATCATCTGACTTCCCTGGGTGTGCACTGGCAGGAAGCTGGATTGGAAGCAGAAGTAGGACTCTTTCTCAGCCATTCCTATATGGGATACTGGCATGACAAGAAGTAGCACTTCCTGCACTGTAACACATATCCTTGGTAATTTTTTTTAAGCTATAAAAGCTAAACTCACTCTAACTCTGAAATTGCTTCCTTAAGTGAAACATTATATATTCAACATGCACATATTCCTATGCTAGATTGGGATGAGTTGGAATGAAAAAAACGGTTTGAGAGCTACCAATTTAAACTTTTGCCTGAAAGTTGAATTACCTGCTAAGTGGTTTTGTTATTTTAATTTGTTGTTATTATTTTGTAGATGTGATGGAAGACCTATTCAACTACATAAATCCACATAATGGCAAACACTCCCCCATGGTGGCCAAGTCAACACTGGACCTTGTTTTGGCCAATAAAGATGTATGTCACAGTTTTGTGGTAGAACTTTTTAATAGATTTTTTTTTACAGTGAGTAACATGCTCATTTAAAAAATCTAACAATACAAAAGCTATAGGTAAGAACTAATTCTGCCTAGTCCTGATCTCTAGAAGCAACTTCATCATTTTAAAATGATTCCATACATTTGTGTATGTTTGCATGTGGTTACATATATCTTTCATTGGTAGTTTCTTGTCCATTTTTTTTCTCATTGATAGTTTTTAAAGATTGTTTTATATTAGCATGTATTAATTTACTACATTCTGACAGCTACAAAGCTTTTATAGCTAAGTCATTTTATATACTTGTAAGAATTCCTTTAGTGAATTAATATTTGTTTTCCATTTTTTTACTGTAGCAAATATGCTTGCATGGCAGGTGTTTATAAACATAGCCAAACCTAGTTACAGAGTGGATGTTCAGATGAGGTTTTGAAAGATGTCTGCTTAGTAACTTGAAAATTATCAGTTTTGTTCAGACGCATTAATGCATCTCAGAGGAAAAAAATGATTAGGTCCAGCTAGCTTGCTCCTCCTTTAGAGTTTTAAAGACTTTGGAAGAGAGAGTTACAGAGAGAGATAAAGACAGAGAGAGGTCTTCCATCTGCTAGCTTACTCCCTGAATGGGCGCAGTGGCTGGGGTGACTGATTTTTCCTCTCTCTCTTTTTTTTAAACTAGCAAATGTACTATATCCATAATAGTGAAAGTTTGGAAAACTTTTATTTCTTTTATTTGTAATTTGTATCTTTTGCAGCCTATGTCAATTTTAGTTCTGGAGTAAGGGCTAAAAGATACTAGATTTTGTGAAAATAAATTTTTTTAAGTCTAATTATTTTAATTGTGGGTTCTTTTTCATTCCATTAGCGCCTGAATTCTGCCATTATCTATGACCGAGATTTCTCTTATAATTACTTTGGCTTTAAGGTAAATAATGGGTTTCAAATAAGTGGGGATTCCTCCTTAGATTAGGAAACACAGTGTCTTGTTTATATTTGGTGATAGAGTTATAAAAGACAGTAAGTTGTTAGACATGGATTATACCTGGGGAATATAATGAAGCTAAGGTGGGAGGTAGTGGTGGTTTAGTTAAATCAAAGATATCTTATCCGTTTGTAAGTTTTGAACATTCCAGCCTTTTGGATTACCTGAGGAGTTACATAGATATTGACCAAAAGTTGTTTCATATTATTTTACTGTTTATGTGACAGCTGTTTCTTTTCTACTGTATTAGTGTTTTTAAGTATCTTTTTGTGGTAGTATAGTGTAATGACTTAGAACATGAACACTGAATCTTTGTGCTTCAGTTTCTTCATCCTCAGAATGGGATAATAGAAAATTTCAAGAACAAATTCTGTTGAGGATTATATGAGTATATGTGCTGCTGAGATCAATGCCTTGTCTGTTGTAAGTGCTAGCCATTCTGATAATGATGTGATGCCTGTTGTATGTACAGAACTAGACTTTTCTGGGTACTTTCTCACATTGTTTTTACTACAACAAAACTATGAATTACTAATATTCCAACTGAAATCTAGGAAGCGCAAATGGGTCATTTTCATTTAAAATTGTGTTAAAACTAAGAAGATTTAAACAGACCACTTAATTGTGAATGATATATTCACTGTATCTTTAAAAACTACTTTAGAAATATTTTTGTTACTTTCCTTTTTTCTAGACATTGGAGAGGTCCTATTTGTTGAAGATCAATGGAAAAGGTGAGAAATTAGGACATTTGTGTGCTGTGTTTTCTATTGATTTTATTAAGCATAGAATGCTGAACTGCTAAGCTTATTTAAAGTCCAAGTATTCTTTTGAATTTTAGATTTAGCTTTTAAATAGTTGGTCTGCTTATTGTATTAAGCGTTTCTGATTTTCTCTTGGTGTTGGCCTTGCTTTAATTCAAATGCATGTTTCAACCTAGTTTTTCTGGCATGTACTGTAATGTGAAAACGCCTGTTTTGTTTCTAGTGGCTGAGAGACCACAACATATGTTGATGAGGGTATCTGTGGGGATTCACAAAGAAGACATTGATGCTGCAATTGAAACCTATAACCTCCTTTCTGAGAGGTGGTTTACTCACGCCTCTCCCACTCTCTTCAATGCTGGCACCAACCGGCCACAGCTTTCTAGGTATGTGTCATCTGTAATTGCTTTTAATGGAATTGTGGTCCTAGGTTTGTGCCTAAAGGTGTTCAGTAATTTGCATAGCAACGTTGTTGTGGCAAATGAATTGGAAATAGTCCAGATGTGTATCAACAGGCACATGGACAGATGTTGATGTAGGTGTGCAGTGGAATGCATTTCAGTTATGAAAATAAACATGAAGGTTACATGTGTCAAAAAATGAATCTCAACGATCTACCACGTCCCTTATGAGACTGTTTTTCACAGATGTCTTCATACCTTCATTAGAAAGTGTTTCATGCTGGTATGTTTGGTTACCTCATTTTGCTTTTTGTCTAAGATTATGAAAGCTCATAGGGATATTAGAACCATTTTCTGAGTCATTTCCTCGAGTCATATTCCAATGTTAAGATGTTAAGATGTTAAGATATATTATAAATATCTGCAACCAGATCATTTCAAGGCTTGATAAAATTTTTAAGTCTGTACAATAATGCTAAATCAAGTAGTGTAATGAATTTTGAGTTGAGAGAGTTGTTGGTAACATGTGATGTATATTTAAAAAAAAAGATTAATCTCTAGAGCAATATTGAGTTAAAAATAAGTTATAGAGCAATAAATTTGCAATTAGGAAAATTTTGAATGTGGAACAAATAAAATATCAAGCCTAAAATGGATGAAAATACTAAGAAATTGCTTCTAGGCTGCAACGGTAGTGTTTTATTTTTTGAGGTGGATGACAAATACAGAGTTAGTCCTGTTATTTTTGGTCTCTTTCTGAGCATATGGTATCCTCATAGAAAAAAAAAAAATTAGTCGTTAGAATCCATTTGAGTGATTGACCCTTCAAGACAGCGAAGGAATTATTAATATGGTACGATTCCTGAGGGGAGAAACAGGATGAGATCCAAGTGTGAATAAGAGGCTATCTTTCAAAAGAACTGTTAGGGAGCTGACATTTTGATGGACAGTTCAAAGAGTTGTTTGACTTTCAGATAGATTTTTCTTTTTTCAGAAATGTTTCAATTTCCTTGTCTGACTAAGAAGACAAGTAATAATGGCACATTTGCAGTATGGTGAGATTGTGAGCTAGTATTTTGGACTTAGCTAAAAGACTCCTTCCCAGGCCTCATATCTAGGGTAGGCAACAAGATGATTTGCTGAAATGTTCCATTGTGCCATTCTAGTAAAGGCCTGCTTTTCTTCTCCTAAAGCCACTTAGAAACATTATAAACTTCAAATTGTTCATTGGTCTGATTTCCTGTTTTAGGGGTTTGGAATCCTTTTCTGGCCCTGGCTTCTTGGGTTGTCCCAAGTTGTAACTTTGCTTTCCCCTTGCAGTTGTTTCCTTCTGAGTATGAAAGATGATAGCATTGAAGGCATTTATGATACTCTAAAGCAGTGTGCGTTGATCTCCAAGTCTGCGGGGGGAATTGGCGTTGCTGTGAGCTGTATTCGGGCTACTGGCAGCTACATTGCTGGGGTAAGCTTCTGTTGAATGAATGGCTTTTATAAGAAATTCAGGTCCGAAGCAAGCAGGCTTGTGGTGAAGAGGGCATATGCCAGTGTTTGGGAGAGCTGGGTCTTTCTTGATTACCCATGTATGTGATATGGAATGTCATTTTGCCTTTTCTGTTTTTCTTTGTCTTATGGACATTTAAATTAGATTAGATTAACTACAGAATCCTTTTTGGCTCATATTTCAGAATTTTTAACAATAGTACAGATTGAACATCCCCAATCTGAAAATCCAAAATCTAACTTTTGAAATACCAACATTATGCAAAATAGAAAATCCCACACCTGACTAAATGTTACAGGTTACAGTTAAAATGCAGGTATATTGAAAATGTGTGAGATTACATTTGAGGTTAATTGATTGAGATTACATTACTTGAGGCTGTGTGTATAAAGCATATATAAAGCAAATGAATTTCATTTGTACTTGAGACCCATCCTCAAGGTATCTTGTTATATATGCAAATGTTTAAAAAATCTGAAAACTGAAATCAGAAACACATCTGTTCCCAAGCTTCTTGGATTAGAATACTCAACCCTTAATTCCTACTCATTGTAAATTGCTTTGAATTTCTTTGTAAAAAAAAAAAAGGCAGTTTAGTATTTTTACTTTTCTACCCAAAGAAAATAGTTTAAATTTAGCTACTTGATTTTGGATTCTTTTGACCTGTAATCATTACATTTTAGTAAATGCCATGAAGTAGCTTCCTATATGTGATTATATTTTATTAGCAAGATACTTTTGTAAGTTTTTGGAGGGGTTTATTTATGTTTATTGGAAAGGCAGATTTTATGGAGAGACAAAGATCTCTCCCCAAGTGGCCTCAATGGCCAAATTTGAGCTGATCTGAAGCTGGGATCCCGGAGCCTCTTCTTGATCTCCCATGCAGGTGCAGGGTCCCAAAACTTTGGGCTATCCTCACCAGCTTTCCTAAGCTCAAGCAGGGAGCTAGATGGGAAGTGGAGCAGCTGGGACACGAATTGGCGCACATGGGGGATCCTAGAGCATGCAAGGCGAAGAGTAGCCAGTAGGCTACTGTGCTGGGCCCTAAGATTTATTTTTAATTATTTGAAAGGCAGAGTTGCAGAGAGAGGAAGAGACAGATCTTCCATTTGCTTGTTCACTCCCTAAATGTAGTAGCCAGAGGGTGAGCCATACATAAGCCTGGAGCCAGGACCCTCTTCCATGTCTCATGTCATGAGTGCAGGGGTCCAAGTACTTGAATCATGTTCTACTGCTTTTCCCAGGCCATTATCAGGGAGCTGGATTTGAAGTGGAGTAGCTGGAACTCAAGCTGTCACCCATATGGAGTGGTGGTACTGCAGGCAGCTACTTTACCTGCTGTGACACCAGGCAAGGCTCTAAGCAATGCTTCCTTATTTTTTTTATGGGCGTTATGTTTTGACAGCAGAGGTAGAGGTGGAGAGCAGGTAAAATTTTATGGATTTCCATATAGAAATTAGACCCATAGCTTATGGCAGTCCAGACTCAGAAACTCAAGGTAGGTTGGCCATGCACATGGCAAGAAACCAGTTACTTGAGCCATCATTGTTACCTTTCAGGACATCAGCAGATAGCTAAAGAGTCAGATAGGGAACCTAGGTAATTCAATATGAGATGTAAGTGCCTTAAACACTATACTCTGTGCTTGCCTCAGGGCACCCTTTTTAATGGAAGACAGTGGTATGTTCACTGTCCGGCTGTTTTGTTATTATTCTTACTAACCCTTCTGCATTTCCTCCAGATGCTTTAATTCTTGGTTTCTCTTTCAGACAAACGGCAATTCCAATGGTCTTGTACCAATGCTGAGGGTGTACAACAACACAGCTCGATATGTGGATCAAGGTGGAAACAAGGTATGCTCTGTTCATCAAAAGTGTAGGTCATGTACATTTTAGAAGATGGTTCAGTTATGTAGTTTCTAGGTATTAGTCCTTTTTTTTTAACATTTAGAATCAATTTAAAGAAGTTAAATGTATTTGACAAATGTATACACTTGCATTGTAATCACATCGATCAAAATGTAGAACACTTTCATTACCCCCAATATTTGTTCATGGCCTTTGTATTCATTACTCCATCATTCCCTAACCCTTTCTCCCTCCCCTATATGTTCATCCATGGCTTCAGCCAGCTACTGATCTATCATCTCTTTTATGTGACAGTTTACTTATAAGAATTTCCCAGCTGGTATCATGTTAATACTTAACTTTAAGAAAGGGCTGTTATGTTACATGTTTTCCTTTTTCTTTCTTTCTTTCTTTGTTTTTTAAGATTTATTTATTTTTTATTGGAAAGTCAGGTTCACAGAGAGGAGGAGAGGCAGAGAGAAATATCCCCCATCCTCTGATTTACTCCCCAAGTGGCTGCAACGGCCAGAGCTGAGCCAATCCGAATCTGAGAACCTAATCTGGGTCTCCCATGCTGTTACAGGGTCCCAATGCTTTGGGTCATCCTTGACTGCTTTCCCAGGCCACAAGTAGGGAGCTGGATGGGAAGCGGAGCTGCTGGGACATGAACCAGCACCCATATCGGATTCTGGCACATGCAGGATAAGCCCTTTAGCCATAGCCTACTGTGCTGGACCCTCTAAGTTTTTCTTAAAACAAAAACCAAAACAAAACAACAAAACCCCTCTTTACTTTCTGTTTTTATAGAAGGAATAGTGAAGTTAAGATAATGGGTTTATCTGCTGTTACCAGCAGGGTCTTCTGTGAATAAAGTCTGCATTTTATGAAGCACACTGATCACCTGTTAATTTATTAGGGTTGATCAGACTTTATCAAGACTGAGCACCATTTTTGGCTGGCCGTTAATAAGTGCAGAACTTGTCAAAATTAGGGCCATTTCTTTGGGCTTTACGTATGTATTACATGATGTAAAATGAACTACAACTGAGTAGATGGTCAGTTATAGTTCACTGTGCCACTTTGGGCAAAGCTGTTAATCCTTTTTGTTTCACATTTTCTTTATACCATACCAGTTGGTTTTTATTCCTAGAATTGTAACAAAAATGTTACGACTTTGTGTAGTACTTTTGTTGTATTTTACTTAGCTCATTAATTATAGTGAAGATCAAAGAAGACAGTTTGAATGAGCTTTGAAGATACAATATTTTTTTGTTTCATTCCAACTCTGAAAAGATCGATTTCTTTATCATTAGCGTCCTGGAGCATTTGCTATTTACCTGGAGCCTTGGCATTTAGATATCTTTGAGTTCCTTGATTTAAAGAAGAACACAGGAAAGGAAGAACAGCGTGCAAGGGATCTTTTCTTTGCCCTTTGGATTCCAGATCTCTTCATGAAACGAGTGGAGACTAATCAGGTGAGAGAATAAGTGCTTGCTGGTAGTAGCCGCTTGATTTATGTGATGTTTTTCTTGTGCAGTTATCTTAAGTCATGCTCAGGAAGGCAGTCAGTGCCCCAGAAGGCATTCTGATCTGAAAAGTAGATTCTGTCTAATCTAAAGTTGAAAAGGTCCAAGCAGGTAGAACTAGATGGTTGGACCTAAGCCCAAAATGATTATTTGCATAGAAAATTTCCAGAAGTGCCTGCAAAGCCATCCTCCTTCTTACCCTTAAGTGTTTCTAGTGTGTTATGGTTTTTCCTTTGGTGGGTTATTTGAAGTTTCTTATTTCCCTTTGTAGGACTGGTCTTTGATGTGTCCAAATGAGTGTCCTGGTCTGGATGAAGTCTGGGGAGAGGAATTTGAGAAGCTCTATGAAAGGTATGGGGAAAATGTGGATGTAATAATGTTTTAACTGCAGACTGTCTTATTTGGGGCATAAATGTCGGAAGTATGTAAGTCTTTAGCTCCTTTCTGGGAGTTTTTAGAAGTATCTAGGTGAGAATGTCTTAATAGTTTTAAATTTGCCTTTTGACTCCTTATCAAAATTGGTCTCTGCTTTCTTTCTTAAAACTTTGGAACATGTAAATAAATAGGTACTTGGGCTTTTAAATTGATCTTGCAAAAGCTAAGTTGAAGACTAGCAGAGCTCTTATTTTACTTTGCTATACAGTACTTTTAAGCTGTACTCTATATTAATATAGAAATCATGTGCAGTTAGAATACATGTATCGGCAGTTAATTAAAATCAGCACGGTATTGAGTGGTTTGGCTACTTTAGTTTTTATTCCTTTTCGTTATGGAAAATAGTATTGATTTGGTGGGATTAGAGTGGAACGGGTCTAAACATTTTCATAATTTTGTATCTTAGCATGTTTGTTCAAATTGCCTGCAATAAGGACTTTTCCTAGGGAATAAGTATTAAAATATCAGCTTTGCTTTTCAGTTATGAGAAGCAGGGTCGTTTCCGCAAAGTCGTGAAAGCCCAGCAGCTGTGGTACGCTATCATCGAGTCTCAGACGGAGACAGGCACCCCCTACATGCTCTACAAAGATTCTTGTAACCGCAAGAGCAACCAGCAGAACCTTGGGACCATCAAGTGCAGCAACCTGTGCACAGAAGTCGTGGAATATACCAGCAAAGATGAGGTAGGTAGAAAAATTTCTTCCTGGGTAGCAGTTATTGTTTGTGAATCCTCCAATTCATTTCATTAATGAATAAATGGAGTTTTCATAGGTGTTTTTTTTTTTAACAAAGAGCTAAGAAGACACGTGATCCATAGCTATAAATATGTTAGTCTAAGCCAAATAGAAAAGACTGTCAGTGTATTATTATTATTATTTTAAATATACATCATTATAACAATATTTACTTGAAAAATAGCAATAAACAGTTCTGGTGGCTTAGGACCTACACAGAAATGTGTTGGAATGCTCATTCAGTTTGAACTGCGTAAGCGCCTTGAGAAGCCCTGCTGTGAATGGTGTGATAAGCTTCTAACACAAAGTCAAGGCTAGACATGGGGCATATATTTTTATGGTTTAGGAAAAGAGCTCCCCATTCGGGAAGAATGGCATGTATAAAAGACCAGAAAGAGAAGGCTAGGTTTTAGGCGTGTCAAGTTGTTTGTTTTGGTAATGTAAATAGGTTGAAGCTTGGTATAGAAATGGAGGAAGGGAGATAGAAGGTAACACATGTCACAGAGGCTCTTGCAGGTTTCTGACATGAAACTATCAAAATGCTAAGATGAAAGGTGGTTCTTGTTTTCCGTGATAAAGTTATCGTGGTGTAAGTAGAGGCGAGGGGCTGGCCTAAAGGGATTGTTGCAGTAGTAGGATGGCAGAGTGGTTGGATCTGGGGTGTAAAATAGTAAAAGAGGAAAGCAGATCTCCAGTTCTAGGACTTTTAAAAGTAATTACAAATGAAACATCAAGAAATAAGTGGAAAGTGCATTGAATATACTGATAAAGTTGCAGTTTAATTAAAAATGTATTGATCACCAACTATGTGTAAAACACTGTACCAAGTGTTCTGGTAAAATCAGTGACTATACCTCAGTTGTTGCACTTTGGAAGCTTATACTTTACCCAGAAAAAAATGACATATATTCAAGTAACTATTATGCAAAACAGTTTATGTTACAGAGGCTAGAATGACCCTTTGTCAGCAAAAATCTCATCCTGTTATCTGACTACAAAACTATCCCTCTTTTGCCTGCCAAACTAAGTAGAGTCCTTTTTTTAAAATGAGATATAGTTTATATACTATAAAATCAATCCTTTAAAAAATGCGTAGTCTGTTATTCTAGGATGTTTTCATCACCCTAAAAAATGAAACCCGGTGCGCACTGTGCATCACTAACTGCTCCCCACAGCGCCAAGGCCGTAACAGCCACTCTTTTCTATCTGGATTTGCTGTGTGGATACTTCCCAGAAATCAAATCCTATGCTGTGTGATCTTTTGTATCTGGCTTCTTCACTTCTAACGCTTCCAAAGTCTAACCTATGTTGTAACGTGTGTCAGTACTTTATCTCTTTCCATCCAAGCGTGTTAAGATCCCTGCCAGGTCCTTCGTGTCCAGAGACTCTCTCCTCATCAGCTGCTTTCCTCCTGCTCACTCTGTCTCAGCCCTTGCTGATTTCTTGGTGTTCCTCCAGCATGTCAAGCATACTCTTGCTCTAGGATTTTTGCTCTTCACCTTGGGGTTCAGCTGCTCTTTCCCGGATATACATGGCTTGCTTTCTAACCTTTCAGTCCTTTGTTTATATCACATTCTTAGTGAGGTCTTTTTTGACAAATCCATTTAAAAATGTCATCGCCTCCATCCTTACCCTCAATACTGTTGTCTGCTTGCCTTATTTTCCTCCTAGCATTTATCAGATTTATGTGTTTAAAGATACATTTTTACATTTATTTATTTATTTATTTATCTATTTATTTGAGAGAGAGACACAGAACTCACATCTTCTGCTGTATTCCCTAAATGTCCGTAATGGTCAGGGCAGAGCCATGTGAGCGGTAGAGATCCAATTAGTTGAGCTTTCCCTACTGCTTCTTGGAGTCTGCATTAGCAAGAAGCTAGACTAAGTCAGGAGCTGAAAGCAGACAGCAAACTCAAGGCACTTTGAGTATGGGATATAGGCATCTCAGCCAATGTCTTAAACATTGATCCAAACACCAAATCCCTCCCCACCCCTTGAAGGTATGTATATTCAAAGTTACAGAGAGTGGGAGAGACAGATGGTTACAATGACCAGGCCAAAACCAGGAACTAGAAACTTCAGCCAGGCTTCCCTAGTGGGTACCAGGGGCCCAGACATTTGGGCCGTCTTCTGCTACTTTTCCTAGGCTGTTAGCAGGGATCTGACTGGAAGTGGAGTAACTGGAACACCAGCTGGGGCCTATAATGGAATGTTGGCGTCACAGCCAGTGGCTTTGTCTGCTATACCATGATGCTGGTCCCTTGAAGCTCTCTATCTTTTCAAAAAGGGGAGAGAGATTTCAGAATGGAGTAGATGTGAAGGGCAATCGAGAATCCAGTGAGGAGATAATTCTAGTAGCCTGCAACAGGAATTATGACTTTGAATTAGGACTGTCATAATCAATATGGAAAAAATTATATTAACTTAGATATTACCAACTATTCACTGTATGTAGTGTTGCACTAAAAGTGTAAAGATAAATAGGATGATTACTACCTGAAGAAACACTATATTGTGGAATGTAGTTGGGAGTTCAGCTGAAGAACTTTGCACAAAATACACGAATTTGGGCTCTTTATTGTGAAGAGTCTGTCAGAATATCAGTGAGGTTCAGTAAACGTGTCTACCTTGGGAGAACTTCCTGGGATTCTGAAAGTGTCCTGTATTTTGTGACTGTTTAATAGTCCAAATAGGATTTGTGCAACTGAGACATTTAATTTAAATTAAATAGCTGTAGATAGAGTTTTTGGGCGCTGTCCTGGCCAGTAGAATTCTCTAGAAAACTAACATGTAGATCATAGAATCCAGGTACAGCCCAGTGTGGTGTCTGCTGATGGAGCGATGCATGTGCCATGGGATGCAGCACTTGCATCTGACTGGTTTTGTTGATGCATCCTGTGACTCGCATGAGCAACTGGGGCTTGAAGAGACGGATCAGTGGGATTCAAAAACGGACTGACAAAGGATAAAGAGGGAAAAGTCAGAGATAAATATTAAAAAATGTTATTGTCTGAGGGTGTTAGAGTCTTCCACGGTGTTTTCTCTGACACGAGGAGAAATCAAACCTGGTGATTCCTGACCTTTTCTCTTTGCGTTCCATCCAGGTTGCAGTTTGTAACTTGGCATCCCTGGCCCTGAACATGTACGTCACGTCAGAGCACACATATGATTTTAAGAAGCTGGCTGAAGTTACTAAAGTTATTGTCCGAAATTTGAATAAAATTATTGACATAAATTACTACCCTGTCCCAGAGGTATGAATGGTTCTTTTTGGAGGGGGGGGTTATTAATGATTAAAATCCAAGATGGAAGAAATGTACCTGGTCTGCAGATATTTTCAGTGCAGAATGCTGCTTTTTCTGTTCTAGAATCTAACAAAAAAAATTTTTTTCTTTTAATCTATTGATACTAAGGCCTGCCTATCAAATAAACGCCATCGTCCCATTGGAATTGGGGTACAAGGTCTGGCGGATGCTTTTATTCTGATGAGATATCCTTTTGAGAGTCCAGAGGCACAGTTACTGAATAAGCAGATTTTTGAAACTATTTATTATGGAGCTTTGGAAGCTAGCTGTGACCTGGCGAAGGAGCACGGCCCATATGAAACCTATGAGGGCTGTCCAGTAAGCAAAGGAGTAAGTATATGGACCAACCTTATTTTTACTTGTGAATTGCCATAGTGATTGGATGTTGGCTCCCCAAAGGATATATCCACATCCTAATCCTTGTAACCTGGGAATGTCACTAATCTGGTTCAAAAAAGACTAAGGGTTTGGAGAGGAAGAGATCGTCCTGGATTATCCAAGTGAGTTCTTAGTCTGCTGACAGTTAACCTACAAGAGAGACACACATATAAAAGAAGCAACATGACACTGGAGGGAGAAGTTGGAGAAATCTAACATCAGTTCTTTAAATCTGTTGACACTAGCCCCGGGATGCTGAATGCCAATGGAAGCTAGATGAGGCAAGGAGCAGAACTTTCTCTAGTTCCTCTACACGAAGTACAGTTTTGCCACATCCCCCACATGGTTTTGAGCTAAGATTTATTTATTCATTTGAAAGTTAACAGATAGGTAGTCAGTGACCCACATATAGAAACTCTTCTTGTCTCTCTCTTTGTCCACTCTCCGCTGGTTCACTGTCCAGATGACTGCAGTGGCCAGAGCTGGACCAGACCAAAGCCAGGAGAGAGGAGCTGCATCCAGATCTACTGCATGGATCGAGAGAGCCCAACCACTTGGACCATTATTCTACTGCTTTTCCGGGCCTTTGTCAGGGAGCTAGACTGGAAGTAGGGTGGTGATGTTGCACGCAATGGCATTACCTGCTACACCACAACACCAGTCCCCATGTTTTCTTATTTTAAGCTCCAAAATGTATGGTAATTTGTTCCACCAGCAGCTGGGACACAAAACACTGCCCATATGAGATGCTAGTACTTGAAGGCAGAGAATTAGCCAGTTGAGCCATCACTTTGGCTCCATACAATTCTCTCATTTCAAAAAGGATCATTCTTAGTGCTTTTATTAAGTCAGGACCACCCTGTATTATTGCAAACTTAACTGCATGTCGCAGAAAGCCGTCCCCTGTTCTGTGATGCTGGGAGTGATACCCATCATATCCCCAGATGTGATCTGCCCGCAAACAGAGGGAGTTGGTTATCCATGGCAGGTGTACCAGAGGGCTTGAAGCTGGAGAGCTTTGCTAGAACTCTGCCTTCCACCTTTATGATTGGTAATGTCAGTGCGATTCCCGGTGACATAAAAGATGTTCATTTAGCTTTGACATTCAGCAGAAACATAGTGTGTGGTTGTTTGAAAATAGGTTCTTTCAGCTGAGTTGATTGGCAATGAAGAAAGATAAGGTCAGAGCAGCACTGTTACTGTTAAAGAGAATGTATCTTAGCAACGTGTTCATGAATGGTAGGATTTGCTGGTTTTTAGCTATGATGTGGGTCTCAGAGGGTCCCTCCAGGCGTGAGGGGAAGAGGAAGCTTTAGCTGGTTTTCTTAGCCTGTTTCTGAACAGTGTGACTACATGGCAGATGTGTTCCTCACCTAAATTGACTAGCAGAAACCATCGTGGAGCTTGAGAACATGGCAGTTGATCTTTTGTTTAATTCTAGTTTTAAATTATCCCAGTGATGTCATACACTTTGGCGTTTTGTTTCTTAGATTCTTCAGTATGATATGTGGAATGTTACTCCCACAGACCTTTGGGACTGGAAACTTCTTAAGGAGAAGATTGCAAAGTAAGTAGATATAAAGTAGCTTTAAAAACAAGCTTGTTTGAGTTCTCTGCCCTTCAGATGTTATGCTTGTCATTTTATCCTCTTCTCTCTCAAATGGACTAAAATGACCCACCTCACAGAGCTATTTTTAGAAAAATACTTTGTAAGATGATGTATGGCAACTGCAAATTGCTTTCTGTTGAAATTATCTCATTACATGGTATATATTATTATTATCAACTGATCTTGTTTTAGGGTTTAACTTCTAGATTAGATACTTTTTCTCCCTAAGCTTTAATTTTTCCAAAATGGAATTGTTTTCTTAATTTTTTTATTTCCTAACCCCATTTGCCTTCTGCAGGACCTTATTTGAGTTGTAATAGGAGTAATTTAGGGAATTTGGAGGAGCTTTGGAAGGATATTGCTTTAATTTTGAATGAGAGAAAAATTAGAAATTAGGTGTTTGTAGGCTTTTTCAGCTAAGGAGCGAGTACTTGTGTGTGACACTTGTCCTCATTGCCTCTCTGGTTAGAGATTTCTAGAACATGTCTCTTAGGCTGAGCTTTGAGGAATGAGCCTGGAGCAGTGGTGAAAATTTCTGTGTAGTACACGGTACGTGCTTTGTTAGATACTCCTCTTGGTACTGAATAGAATCAAAAGATGTTAGCCTTCTTCTGAGTACTTCAATAAAAGAAGTCAGGAATATATATAATAATGTAAATTGTCATCCACATACTTTTTGAACTACCCTCATAAAAATTAGAAGATTAATTTATTTTGGTGCGAAAAAATTAGAAATTTATGTGTAGTTTTTTTCATAGTATAGACTTTTAATTTTTTTTTAAAGATTTATATATTTTTATTGGAAAGTTAGATTTACAGAGAGAAGCAGACACAGAGACAAAGATCTTCTATCTGCTGGTTCACTCCCCAAGTGGCCACAATGGCCGGAGCTGAGCTGATCTGAAGCCAGGAGCCAGGAGCTTCTTGTGGGTCTCCCATGTGGATGCAGTTCCTAGGCAGACAGCTGGAAGGGAACAGGAGCAGCCAGGATATGAACCAGTGTCTGTATGGGATCCTGGTGCATGAAAGGTAAGGACTTTAGCCACTAGGCTGTCATGCTGGACTCCATAGTGTGGACTTTAATAAACTTTTTGTTTGGAGACTCAGTCTCAGAGAGAAAGATCTTCCATCTGCTGGTTCATTCTCCAAGCGACTGCAGTGGCCAGAACTGAGCCCATCTGAAGCCAGGAGCAGGTGCAGGGTCCTATGGCTTTGGGCTGTTGTCTATTGCTTTCCCAGGCTACAAGTAGGAAGCTGGATGGAAGTAGAGCAGCTGGAATATGAACTAACACCCATATGGGCTCCTGGTGCATGCAAGGCCACTAGGCTACTGCACTGGGCCCTTTTTGGGTAAAGTTTACTTATTTCAGAGGCAGAGTGACAAAGGTAACAGAGAGACATAGAGAGATCTTCCATCTTTTGGTTCACTCCCCCAACGGCTGCAACAGCCAGGGCTGGGCCAAAATGAAACCAGGAGCCAGGAGCTTCTTACAGGTCTCGTGCGTGTGCAGGGGCCCAAACACTTAGGTCATCCTGCACTGCTTTCCCAGGCACATTAGCAGAGAGCTGAATGGGAAATGGAACAGCTGGGCCTCTTACCAGTACTGCGTTTGGATTAATGGTCTAGCAGGCAGCAGCTTTAGCTTCTGTGCCACAATGCTAGTCTCATGTGTAAACTTTTTTGAAGTACCCTCATACTTTGAGCATTATTTTTTTCTTTTCATCATGTAGTGGAGAAGTGTAGTGCTGTCCATCTGGTGGTAATTACTTTCATGTCATTACCTTTCCTGAAGAAGCCTACTTGTGGTGATCTGTAGAGAAACTTGGAAAAGCGAGGATTGAACTGGTATACCCTGGGAAGGCAAGAACTCTGCAGCAATGATCTCAAGTGTTTTTCTGGGCAAAACGGTGTGCTGCATGTTGTGAATCTAGGTGCTACAGTGTATGCACTATAAGCTGTGATGTGGCTCGGATTGTCAGCAGTAAACATATTGCTAATTCTTTGAGGGAGTCAGGCATTTAAGACAAAATAATAATAAATGGATGAACTGTCGCATTCATACTGTGGGATTGCATCATGTTAGGATTTATTTCAGAAGTCAATGGAAAAATTAAAAGAGTGTATATGTATATGATGTTATTCCCAGTGACTTAAAGTAACTGCGTTCCTGGCTGATGATAGCTTTAGGACAAGAATCTAATAATCTCCTTCTCCTTAGGTATGGTATCAGAAACAGTTTGCTTATTGCTCCGATGCCTACTGCTTCCACTGCTCAGATCCTGGGGAACAATGAGTCGATTGAACCTTACACCAGCAACATCTATACTCGCAGAGTCTTGTCAGGAGAATTTCAGGTGAGGAGTTTACAGCCAGACTGATAGGAGGATCTTTCCCAAGCTTAAGGGGAGTACATGCTCACTCCTACTTAGTATGTCCCTTTTTTTAACTTGGGAGATCAAGCCTTGATAAAGAGAGCTATCATAATGTCATTCTGTTATTTCAGCATGTAACAGGCATTTGATAAATGTCTGTTGAAAGAGTGATTGGGTCTTCAATATGGAATGCCTTGTTGATATTGCAGTTATGCGTTATTTAACTATTATATAATTATAATGATTTCATTGAAAGATAGTGGTTCTTAGACTGACTGAGGTAGATCGGGAGAAAGTGCTGTCTGTCTGCCTGCATGACCCACAACTCTGGAGTAGGGGCCGTGCCAGCCTCCCCAGGACCAAAGCAAGGAGCCCCAGGAGCCCCAGGAGCCCCAACACCCGCATCTTCCACCCCAGTGCCACAGGCATCAGACTGAGGGGGTGGCCACGTCGGCGGCCTGGGACCCCCAGGGAAAGGCCTATTCCCGCTGCTCCTGCCCCCTCCCCAGTGCCTGCACAGTGGGCACTCCTGGGCCCCTACCGCCATGGCCCAGGGGTTCAGTCCCAGCTTCTGGGCTAGTTCCAGGAAGGCTGGGAGCCACAGGTGGTCCCGAATGCCTGGACTAGACTGTCTTTAGCAGAAGCCAGGAACTCAGTCCAGGTCTCTGACACTGTTTTTCTCCGAGCCTGCCTGAACTGGAAGCTGGAGCTGGGATCCATAGTAGGGTACTGAACTCCAGTGTGGGATGCTGGTCCTTAACCAGCATCTGAACCGTGAGGCTGAACTCCCACCCTCCAAATTTTTTCTTTTAACATAAGCAGTCATTGTACCTTCATTTAGATAAAAATAAAGGATTGTTCCATATAGATTTACTCAATTTAGGCAACATCAGTTCTTTGCGCTTTTTGCAAATACCATTTCTTACTGTAATTCAATTTCTTATAGCTTTATTGACAAGAATTGCATATATCCAAGGTGCATGATGTAATGCTTTAGTATTAATATCTATAACAGATATTAAGATATTAAATATATTTTTCATATATTTGTGAGATACTTTGAATTTATTTAAAAAGCATAATTTACCAAAAAAACAGAATTTACAAAGCAACCTAATGCTAACTAGTTCTTCATTGATCTTATTTATGTAACGTTCCAGAGCTGTGTTTCTCTGTGGGTCTGGCCATTGTTATTTATTACTTTACATCTTTCTTGCTTTTCCATTTAGATTGTAAATCCTCATTTACTGAAAGATCTTACTGAGCGGGGCTTGTGGAATGAAGAGATGAAAAACCAGATTATTGCGTGCAATGGCTCCATCCAGGTATGGCAAGGAGCTGAGTTGGACATTGGGATACCTCCTGCTTTAGCCCAGAAAGTGGAAGGGAAACATGGCTGTTTACTGTGGATTTATAGGCTGTGACTCATGTGGCTCTGTTCACCTCTGCAGTGTTGTGCTAGGATTCTGCATCTCATTAGAGAGTTCTTGTGTAAGAATGTTAAGCTGGGGTTCCCAACAGGTCTGGGTTACTGGGGAACTTTGAAAATCCTGGCACTCATTGCCACCTAAGAAAGTCTGGGAATGGGAACGAGACATTTACCAGTATGTTTTGAAGTTTTTTGAAGTGATTAAAAATGCATCAGAATTTGGGGATCACTGATACAAAGTCTGAAATTAGAGAGTCAGACTTAATTAAACATGGTGGAGACATGTTTAAACAGTTAATTAGAGGCCTGATACTCCAAAAGACAGAATCATGAATATTATTTAATAATCAAATGAAGCTGAGAATGAAGAAGTGTTCTTTTGTAGTTAGAGGACTTCGGCTAAATGCTGTTGTATCTGGCGACATAAATAAAGAGTCCTGTAACATTTCTGTATTTGGTGACAAAAATGTTGCATTATCTAGTCTGTGTGTTTTATAAATGCAAACTAACCCATGACTTAGGAGAACGAATTTGTGCTCCAAGTAGAGTTTATTGAGGCCAACCTGGATTTTTAAGTGTCTTATTTCTTCCCTTGATAATGTCCATGGGAGTTACGGTCCTAAATATTTGTGTATTCTGTAGAACTCCAGGATGGTTTATTGCTGCTTAGCTCTTACTTTTCCCCCCACCCTTAAGTGCATCTAGAAGAGCGAGTGTTTTGGCCATGAGTCAGTCAGAGAGGGATACATAAGTGACTACCACCAGATTGATATCTGACTGCTTAGATAGGATTTAGTTGGTCTTTTATTGGCAAACTTGGCAAGGATCATGTATGGCAAGATCAGATTTGGCAGACTGGCTGGACCCTTGTGTCATTCTGCTAATCATACTGTTTTCCTTAAGTGGAGTAGAGTAAATATTTGATTTCCTTTCTTCAGAGCATACCAGAAATCCCTGATGACCTGAAACAACTTTATAAGACTGTGTGGGAAATCTCTCAGAAAACTGTACTCAAGATGGCAGCCGAGAGGGGTGCCTTCATTGATCAAAGCCAATCTTTGAACATCCATATTGCTGAACCCAACTATGGCAAACTCACTAGTATGCACTTCTACGGCTGGAAACAGGTTTGTAGAGGAAGTTCTTCCACTTAAAACCCAATGTGCTAAAACTCACCCATGATTTTTTTTTTTTTTAAAGATTTATTTTATTATTTTTTTATTGGAAAGGCAGATGTACAGAGAGGAGAGACAGAGAGGAAGATCTTCCGTCCGATTATTCACTCCCCAAGTGAGCGCAACGGGTCGATACTATGCCGATCCGAAGCCAGGAGCCTCTTCCAGGTCTCCCACGCGGGTGCAGGTTCCCAAAGCTTTGGGCCATCCTCGACTGCTTTCCCAGGCCACAGGCAGGGAGCTGGAAGGGAAGCGGGGCTGCCGGGATTAGAACCGGCGCCCATATGGGATCCCGGGCATGCAAGGCGAGGACCTTTAACCACTTGCGCCATTGCGCCGGGCCCTCACCCATGATTTTTAATTAGATTAAGCTCCTTTTAGAATTATTTCATTCCTCGGTTTAAAAATGCGGGTTATTTATGATTCTTTCTTTTCTCTCCATGCTGTTACTTACTGCTGGTTGTTCCTTTGTACTGGTTTTTGAGAATTTTCTTACTATCCTATCATCAACAATTTCTAGCTGATTTTTTTGCTATAGTGTCTCTGCTTCAGGCTGTCTTCTGCAATACAGCCATCCCTAAAATGAAATCAACTCACTCTTCCTCAGCATCTGCCGTGTAAAGGACAAGCTCTTTAACCTGATCATTTTCATCCAGGAAATACTCATGGACCATTACACAGAGACACAGTCTAAGCCTCTGAGTCAGTTATAATTTAAGTCAGACTTTACAGCAACAGTCTTGACAAACTTGGAGTTATACACATAAAGACAAAAGCAACATACTTGACATTTCTAAAGAGATAAGGATATTTTGGGAGTGAAAAGAACAGATTGTAGATGTCCAACTCCAAGCATTTTTGATCCTATTTCCTGGTGGAGCTAGAATTGCACACATTGAAAACAATTTGACCCGGTTTATGAGAATGTAGTGCCTTCACAAATCTCGTGATGTTTGTGTTTACTTTGCTTGTAGGGTTTGAAGACTGGAATGTATTATTTAAGGACAAGACCAGCAGCTAATCCAATCCAGTTCACACTAAATAAAGAGAAACTGAAAGATAAGGAGAAGGCATCAAAAGAGGAAGAAGAGAAGGAAAGGAACACAGCAGCTATGGTGTGCTCTTTGGAGAATAGAGATGAGTGTCTGATGTGTGGCTCCTGAGAAAAGACACGAGAAAAGACCAGTGTGTCTTTGATAGCCAAACTACTTCTTCAGGATAAATAGGCATGATAGGTTTGTTTGAGGAGGTAAGGCTTAGCTAAACCTTATTGCAGCAAAAGCAATAATTGATAAAGTACTGTTTCTACATAGCATGAAGGTAATGATTTGGAAAAAAAAATTGGCATGGGAATCAAAGTAGAGTTTTAGGAATGCAAAAGAAGTCATCTTGCAAATAGGGAATGAATACGTAAAGTCTCATCACCCCTTTTCTGATGAATTCTATTTTGGTAAACGAGACTTAATTTTGCAACTTTGGTGAATCCTTAGAAGCAAAACTGAATGAGAGGCACTGATAAGACTTTTATCTGTGTAAGGTCCCTAGGGCTTACTGAAATAAAGATAAACATTTCTAAGTGACTGTGTGAGGTTAATTTTGTCATTTATTTTCTTACATAGGGCAGATATGGAGAAAAACTAATTTTTTGATGGTCCAGGAGGAGTTTTTAAAACGTATCTGTTTTTATTGCTTTTGAAAACTAATGGAAGTTTTAACCAGAGCAAAAGAAGGAAGTAAAAGACAAGAGAAGGAAGTAAAAGGCCTATAGATAGGAAAGGAGGAGTCAGATTGTCTGTGGAGGAACTAAAAAAATTTCACCAAGGCGCCATTAGAATTGATAAGTTCCGTAAAGTTTACAGAATATAGATACACACAAAATCAGCATTTTTATATGGCAGCAACTAAGTTGCTGAGAAAAAACTGAGAGCTACTTCACAAAAACTACCTTCGGTAAGTTTAAACAGGGATGTGAAAGACCTCATTAAAACTTGCATATTAACCAAAATGATTTATAGATTGATGGTATTTCCCACCCAGATAGTAATGACATTATTAACAACTTGAGCAACATATCCTAAAATTCATATAGAACATGAAGGACCTCGAGTACCAAAAAAAGTGCAAAACTGGAAGCATCACAATAACCAGATTTCTTAACTGTGTAGTTATTATAGCCAAAATAGGATAGAAACAGGTATACAGAACAATGAAACAGAATGGACACCCTAGAATTAAGTCCACACATCTACAAGCCAACATGTCTTTGACAAAAGTGCCAAAACCTGGTCTAGGAAGGAGCAGTCTTCATTAAAAGTTACTGGGAAATGGGATTTCCACACATTAAAAGATGTAAAGCAAGACCCCTCCCTCTTACCCCATAGAAAATGGATCAGAGATCTGAATGTAAGACCTGAAACTGAACTACTAGATGACAGCAAGGGGAATACTTAAAAGACATTGGCATCAATGATACATATATTTGATGGAGGTTGGGGAAGACCCCCCAAAAGCAGACGATAAAAGCAAAAAACAAACGTCTATACAGGAAAAATTGAGAAGACACCTGACAGACACATATATGTAACCTGTGCATCTGATTAAGGATTCATATCAAGAATATGTGAGGAACTAAAGGAATTCAACAATAGAAAATCTAGGTTAAAAATGGGCAGAGGGTCTAAAGAGACATTTTAATAACAAGTGACCAAAAGCCAAATGCATGAAAGAGTGCTTGGTATCACTGATCATGAAATGCAAATAAAAACTTCAATGAGATCATTCACTTCAGTTAGGATGGTTATTGCCATGAAGACAAAAGTTAACAGTGCTAGCAGAGATATGAGGAAAGCAGAGCCCCAGTGTACTTTGGTGGGAAAGCAACTTAGTGCAGCCATTATGGAGGTCAGTTTGGAGGTTTCCCCAAGCAACCCAAAATACCATATGACCCAATTATCACGCTTCCAGGTTTATAGCAGAAAAAACCAAATCATACAAATAAAGAATCAATCCAGGTTCCTGTTATATGAATAAATGAACAAATACATATCATGTATATTAGAATTCTTTGGTTTTTAGATCAAGCTTTATTCTTATTTTATTTGAAAAAAAGATTGTTCTTCCTTTCACTGGTTCACTTTTCAAATGCTAGCAACAGCTGGGGATGGTCCAGACTGAAGCAAGGAGTCCATCCAGGTCTACCTCACCAATGGCTGGAAGCCAGTTATTTGAGCCAGCATTTGCTGTTCTCCATAGTGTATATTAGCAGAAAAGTGAATCGGAAGTCAAACAACTTAGACTCAAAGCAGACGCTCTGATATAGACGTGGGTATTGCAAGTGACTTTTTTTGGTTCCAAAGGCCAGGAACAAACCACCAAGTGACAGCTTCACCATTGTGCTGGCTGTTCACCCCCAACTCTGCTTTTAATATAAATATATTTTTTCTTCTTTAAAAATGCAGATGTGTATGTAAGTTCTGCAGTTTTGTCCATTTTTAGATGAACAATTCTGTGATAGTAATTACATTAACAATGTTATATGTTCAGCACAATTTCCAGAACTTTTTATCATTCCACACAAAAATTCTGTACCCATAAAAAAACTACCTGTTTTCCTTTTCCCTCAGTCTCTAGTAACCTCTGTTCTACAATTTATAAATTTGCCTATTGTAGGTGTCACCTACAAATGAAGTTTGTCATTTTCTTTCTGGCTTATTTCATTAAGCATCACATTTTTCCTTCCATCCACTGGTTCACTCCCCAAATGGCTGCAACAGCTGGAGCTGGGCCGGTCCAATGCTAGGAGTCAGGAGCTTCTCCTAGGTCTTCTATGTGGGTTCAGGGGTCCAAACACTTGGGCTATTAGCAGGGAGCTGAATGGGAAGTAGCAACTGGGACTCCTGCAATGCCAGTACTGCAAATGAAGGCTTAACCTGTATATAGCACCAACCCCTATTAGCTTTTTTTTTTTTTTCTCTTAAGAGAATTGTTCCAGTGTATTTGTTAGTGACTCCAGAATAGTTTCTGGTCTTTTATTTTGTTCCTTTGAATGAACTGTTTTTCTGCTTGTATGTATGATGTGGAAGATGGGTCATTTTCATGTTAAGTTCATTTTCAGTTAGCTTACAATGAATCAACTGAAAATCAGATTTTCTCCAGGATCTCAGAATCTCTAGGTATTTTTTTTTTAAAATGGTTCAGCCACTTTATTTATTTAAGGTTTATTTTTATTGGAAAGTCAGATATACAAACAGGAGGAGAGACAGAGAGGAAGATATTCTATCCGCAACTGCTGGAGCTGAGTTGATCCGAAATCAGGAGCCAGGAGCTGCTTCTGGGTCTCGCACGCAGGTGTGGGGTCTGAAGGCTTTGGGCCATCCTTGACTGGTTTTCCAGGAAACAAACAGGGAGTTGGATGGGAAGCGGGGCTGCTGGAATGTGAACCAGCACCCATGTGGGATCCTGGTGCGTGCAAGGTGAGGACTTTAGCTACTAGGCTACAGCTCTGGGACGGTTTTTTAGTTTGTTTTGTCTTAATGGCTGCAGCATTCTGTTTGAAACTTTCGAGCAGTTTTTGAAAAGCCTAATTGTCTTATGTGTGGTTACTGAAACCTCCGTTTCTTTGGCGCACGTTCAGCTAATGTTTCAAAAGAACTTTGCTCTGTCAAGAGAACTGTGATGGTTAATGTCACATGGTTAAGCCACAATACCCGCATATTTGGTCAAGTATCAGTTTATTGTCAAGATATTTTCAAAGTTGGTAGTAATGTCAAAATTGTTAAGAGTTTGGATAGAGTAGATTATGCTCTATTATTTAAGTGACCTAACCCATTCACTTGAAAGCCTTGAAAACAAAGATAGGGGCAATTAAGATGAGTGATTTCTGTCTCTATACTGTGGTAGATTCAAGCTGCAACATGAACTCTTCTGCATCTCCAAACTGCTGGCTTGCTCTGCTGAGTTTGGGCTTGCTGGCTTCCAAAATTACATAAGCTATTTATGTATTTACTTCTTTAAGATTTACTTATTTTTATTGGAAAGGTAGATATACAGAGAGAAGGAGATACAGAGAAAGATATTCTATATGCTGGTTCATCACCAAGCAGCTGCAGTGGCTGGAGCTGAGCCGATCTGAAGCTAAGAGCCAGGAGCTTCCTGCAGGTCTCCCACACAGGTGCAATGTCCCAAGGCTTTGGGCTGTCCTTGACTGCCTTCCCAGGCCACAAGCAAAGAGCTGGGTAGGAAGTGGAGCACTAGGGATGCAAACCAGCACCTGTATGGGATCCTGGCATGTGCAAGGTGAGGACTTTAGCTACTAGGCTACCGTGCTGGGCCCATAAACCAGTTACTTAAAATAAATGTCTATATATTCATTTGTTTGGTTCTATTTCGCTGCAGAACTCTGGCTAACATAGATTTTGATGTTAAGAGGAATCTGAGAACGGAATATTAAGGATGAGTTTTCTGAATTGATGGAGTTGGTTCTGATTACAGCCTGTGATGATTGTTTCAAGTAACACTGATGGTCCAGGATGTGATATGCAAAAGAGATAGCAAATACTAACATTCAGTACTTGCAATCAAATGCTTTTAAGAGTCAAGATTCTAAGTGATCACAAATACCTTTGAACATTTTTGTCTAAGTACCCTGGGAAAAATTAGGGAAAGAAAAGGATGAGCATAGGAATTTGAATTCTCAGCTTGAATGCTACAGAGAAGATTTAAAAATGTATGTATGTTTTAATAGAAAATTCTGTTGATGACTGCAGAGTTGAGACTGCTGAAAACCAAATGTAGAATCTTCTCCCTCAAGGGGCAACTTGAATCCCCAGTTCTGTAGGGTGTCTACTGTTGCCAGGAGAACATTGAGCATAAATGGGATCCTGAAGATTGGAGTGGGAATACATGGGATGATTCTGATGGAACTGGGGGCATCAAACCCCTAAATTCTGCTGGGTTCTCACTGTCAGTTCAGTCAGCTGTTCTACTCTCCTCTGAGAATTGACTGAAGAGAGTAAAGGCACTCTGCCGATTGTCCTCAGGGTCCACCCTACCATTGACTCAAGTTCTAACAGGCCCTAGAGGTAAGCTACAAGATCTGCTCCGTGGTGACACGTGCTACCTTCCAAAAAGGCTCCATGGTTTTTCCATTTGGGAATATATGTAAAAATGGGTGGTAATGTAATGGTGGAAGGAAGGTAAGACTGGATCATGCTGAATTTTTTGATGTGTGCTCATAAATAGAGTCTTGATTTAATGTTGTAGTTTGGAAGATTAGAAAGTATCATAATAGTCTGGTTAGTTGATTGAGGCATGGATGAAAAGGTGGCCTATGGTAAGTGAAGTTGGAATGCCACAACTACTTTGGTATATGAGAACACTTTGAAATGCTTGTGGAGAATAGAATTAAGAGTTGTTTATTTGGGTACCAAAGTTGAAATCTGTACATAATTACTAAAATACAGGAGGTGGTTCAAAGACTAAGGGGGATTGAAATGTTAGGGTGTGTTCATCATTCAAGAACTCAATTCACCAGAAGTGTGAGCAAGAAATGTGAGGGGCACCTCAGCATTCGTGAGGACCTCTATGATTACTTTTCTTCTGTAGTAAAACTGCAGTGGGAGCTGTTGCCACTGAACTGAACATCTTAAGTTCCGCAGAGGCACTTGGTCTGGAGTGGCAGGAATGTAGCAAGCAGAACTATCTAGTTTAGTTTGGCTAGATGATCATGGAGTTCCTTGAAGTGAAATAGGTGGGAAGTCTATTAGATTTCTGCTTGATCTGTATATGCAGGCAAAAGTAATATAAAAAAATCATGCTCCCTCATTCAATTTCCAGATTTGAGTCAGGTTATAGATTTAGAACCATTTAAATGAAGGGGTAACCAAGTCTTTTTAAGGAAGGGTATTGCAACACTCCCAAAGTTGTACACCGTCTGATCTCCAGCCTATAGCCTTTTAACAGGTTAACTTCACTGAGGAAACGGGAGTAATCAAATCCTTTGAGGATTCTGGACATAGACTCTGAACTGACACAAATTCCAGGGAACTTAAAATGTTACTGTAGCCCATTAGAGTAGCAGCTTAAGGAAGTCAGTTGGTCAATGGCATTTTAGCTCAGGTACATCTCAAAGTGGGTTCAGTAGCCTCTAAAACCATCTTGTGTTTATTTTTTCAGTTCTCAAATACATAATTGGAATAGACAGACACTGGCAGAATCCCTGCACTGGTTCTGTTATTTGTGCAGTGACGGCTCTTTTGGTGAGAAAGACAAAGTGAAATCTTCTACAACTGCCTCTACTTAGCAAAATGGAAAATCAAGATTAATAGTGCATTCTCGGAGGATGATAGAGATTAGTTCCACCATGCAGGGCAGTTAATTCCCATATCACTCCTGTTCAACTCATCATGCCATTGAGAAAACACAAATCCTGGAGAACGCAATGGATTATTGGAAGCCTAGTAAGCTCGTGATCGTCACCAGCTGAGATTCTAACACTTGAGCAAATCTACCTATTCTCTGGTTCACAAGTTGTGGGTCTGGCAAATGCTTCTTTTTCCATACCTTAGTAAAGAACACCCAAGCAGCTTTCTTTCAGCTGGCATGATCAGTGAAACACCTTTACTGGCCTGCTTCCCAGGTAGAGCAACTTGCCAGCCCTGTGTCATAATTTAGCTCACAGGTTTATTTTTTAAGATTTATTTTTATTTGAAAGGTAGATTTTATAGAAAGTGAGAAGGAGAGAGTTTTCTATCCTCTGGTTCACTCCCCAAAAGGTTGCAATGTACAAAAGGTTGCAATGTACAGAGCTGAACTGATCTGAAACTGAGAGCCAGGAGCTTCTTCCAGGTAATTTTTGTGTAAGGTAATTTTTGTGTAAGTGCAGTCATCTTTGCTACTTTCTATGGCCATAAATAGAGAGCTGGATGGAGCAGCCAGGGCATGAACTGATGCCCATGTGGGATGCCAGTGCCACAGTGCACAAAGATACAACAAAATACAACAAGGTATCATTCTGGTCCAATTCATTGTATTGATTAGGTCTTATGAGTGAGGAAATAGCAAGTATTCTGGACTTATTAGTAAGATGTTTGTGTGTCAGAGTGGGAAATAAATTTCATTAAAATTCAGAAAACCTTCTATGTCAAAGATCCAGTGGTGTGAGGTATTTGGGATATACATTTTAAGATGATGGATAAATTGTTGTTATCTAACTTACAAACCAAGAAAGAGGCATGACATCTAATTGTCTTCTTAGGAACTTGGAGGCGATATTCCTCATTTCATATGTCACTCGAGACTTCTTTCTGAGTAATCTGAAAAGCTGCTTGCTTTTAGAGAGACGCCCAGAACAAGAGAAGGCCCCAGGTCCAGGATACCGTGCAGGTTGCTCTGCCACTTGCGTCATGTGATCCAGAAGATCCAATGATGCTGAAAATGTCAGTGCAGATAGATGCTGATTGGAGTCATTTGCAGACTTCCGTAGGTGAATCACAGCACTAACTCAGGATTTCAAAGCAACAGCTTGCTCTCCTCTTCAGGTAAGTATTCTTAAGAAATAGCTTTGGGCTTCTAACAGGGCCTCAGTAGAGTCTAAACACTTAACTATGGGCCACCAAATTACCCTGCAACTTTAGCTGCCCATCATAAACTTGCTGTTAATGGAGCCACATAAGCCATAAAATTGAGCATGCTCAGCAGCACTTCATCATCAAATAGGAGCAGTATAGACAAGATTGGGCTCAATGAGGCCTTTAAGGCATGATTAAGTTGCATCTAAAAGTAGCCCAAACACTCCTAATCCTCATTCCTGCTGCACTGCCTTGTGCATGGCCTAATGGGGAGTTACCTATGATTAGCTGACATGGGGAGACAAAACTAAAGGCTTGATTCACAAATGTTTCTGTGTCAAATGTGGGTACTACAACCACCTTACAGGAGCATCCCTGGATGGCATGCCGTTCTATACATGACAGGGAGCTATGGAAGCAGGGTGTAAGCCTTAGATAATTCACATTATTGGATACCATGGGAAAAATGATATGCCTATGGGTTTGGTTCAGATTCAGGTCCAGGACTTAAATCAGGGCTTAGTCTGGCTTTGGGTGAGACTTAGGCTCCAAGGGAAAGACCTTGTATATGCCCGAGGTTAGCTTGGAGGAATTTCCATCTGTGGATTTGTCTTTGTTCCGGTTCCCCAGGGCAGGGCCTCATCTGACCTTTGGGTCATATTGGGACCTAGGAGAAGATCTGGTGTGGTTATCCATTAGCCTGGGATCTCCTAGGAATGACTGGATTTGTTTGCATGGGCTACACTGGAGACTTTACATTTAGGATCTCAAACAAGGACCTCACCTTATATCGGTATTATTGGATTCCAATCTAGAACCCAGCCTTGTAGCTGGATTAGGCTGAACTGAATATTTGGTTAGACCAAACTTTGTCTTAATCCTTAGGCCTTATTTATAAGATTGGGCTCCAGAGAAGGGCTTGGCCTGTTTATTGCTTCCAATGAAATGTTCACAACAGGTGGTAGTCTGTATGACACACTCTATATAACTCCTAGTGAAGTCCTTACATGCAGATACAAATTGAGATTTTATGAATTAGAGAAGACAGGGAAAATAAACTAGGAAGCATAAGTAGATAAAAACAAATTTATCATTGGGGTGAAAACAGGAAAACATTGTAAGAACTCAACTAGCTACAATTGACAGATGTGTTTTTGAGTACATAATCCACTCAGGAAGTTCCAGTGTGTTCCTGGGTCCTGCCGCCTTTTGTTCCCAGAGGCCATGGCTCTTCTCACCCTGGCAATTTCTGCTCTACTCTCACATTCTGCAAACTTTTTGGCTTTTCTCCAACCTCCTGGACCAATTCCTTTCTGCAAAACATCTTTTCTACATGTTGCCAGATCTCCCTAGTCCTCACCCCATAAATGACAGGATTCAAGGCCCCTGGAAGTAGCAAATATATGGCACTGAGCAGATTCTGGACATCCTGTGACACAGTCTTAGCCACTCGGAAGACAATTGAAGTGGAAAGACCGGAGAGGTAGATGGTGAGAATAACCAGCAGGTGGGAGCCACACGTGTGCAATGCCTTGGCTCTGGCCCCTCCAGAAGAGATGCGGAAGGCATCGTAGATGATGCGGGTGTAGGAGGTCCCCAGCAGGACCAGATCCAAGGTCACAGTGACCAGCCGCATAGCCAGTCCTAACCTGTTGTTGAAGGTCAGGTCTCCACAAGCTATGCTCAGCAATGCAATGTACTCACAGGTGAAGTGCCCAATCACTGCTGTCTGGCAGAATCGAGCTCGTGCGGTTAGCACCACTAGGGGCACTGCCACTAGCAGGCTCCGTGTCAAGGCTAGAATGGCCAGCAGGCCCAGAAGGCGGGAGGTCATCAGGTCAGTATAGCGGAGTGGATGGCAGATGGCTATGTAGCGGTCCAGAGCCATGGCCAACAGAAGGTTATAATCCAGAAGGAGGGTGAAGTAGATGAAAAACATCTGGGCCAGGCATCCATGAAGTGAAATGGGGTTAGCATAATGCACAAAGCCTTCTGTCATCTTAGGCATCACGGCGGTGGCAGCGCAAATGTTGACGGCCAGGAGCAGGGCGATGAGCACATACATGGGCTGATGCAGGCTCCGCTGGGCCACCACTGTGTGGATGACCAGGGCATTGGCAGAGATGATGGTCACATAGAGGATGGTAAGAGGCAGCACAAGGAGGGGCCGCCATTCTCGTAATCCAGGGAAACCCACCAGGAAGAAGCTGGTGTAGGAGATGTTGAAGGTGCTGGTATTTCCCTCCTCACCCATTAGCTCAACCCTGGCCTGGTGCTAGCAGCAGACTTCAGAGATTGTTAGAAGAAAATAACTAATGGAGAAAAATATGCGTATTTTTGTTTTAGGCCCTGAGGAGTCTGTGATGAAAATCCACTTTTGCAGGAATGTGTACTATTCCTTTGGAGCATACATAGATGCTATGCCAGAGTCAGGGAAGCTGTGGAGAGGAACAAAACATTGTCTTCAGGGACCTTTGGCACTATGTGCATGACATCAAAAAATTTACAAGAGACTTGTTTATCTTTGATGTGACAGGCATTTCATTGCTGGGCAATAGATGAGGAGGAAAAGCAGGTGTGGAATTTGATAGAGAACAAAGTGATGTCCAAAAATAAAACAAGAAATGTTATAGAAAAAAACCCTTAATTCAGGGGAAGAAGAAGAAAAAGCATGGGAAAAAAAATCTTTGAACTGAGTAGCCTGGGAAGGACCAGGTGAGGCTTGCTGGGGAGAGAGGAACAAAGCAGTAATGTGTGTCTCACGCATTACTGTGGATTTGGAGCTCTGTGGTGAAAACAGAGGGAAGTTTCAGAGAAAGACTTCTGTGCTTCCTGAACCACAAGCCACACACAGCCTGCAACTGCCTCCTTCCAATGCCCTGGAAGGAGTGGGCACTGCCTGCCTGGCCTTTTCCTTAGGGCTAACAGTGGTGGTCCTGCTTTCCTTTCAGAAGGTAAGTTCCAACAGGGCACATGTAGCAGCACACTTTCAATGTGCTCACTGGGACTCCAAGTGGAGATATTGTTGACGCCTAGGTGACGCTCCAGCATTACATGTTGTGTGGATGCATGAAAACTAGGAAGAAGATGGGAGGTGGCTAAACACTGATTTGGGCTCTAAGAACAGTTACTTCAGTGCTTTGGCCAGACTTTTGCACAATTGAGTAGATACTGAAAGATTTGTGATCCACTAAGGAGCCCACGTCTTATTCAGATTCTTGGTACAATTTGATGGTGGATATGATGTAAAAAAAAAAAACACTATTACACATAAAAATAGCCAACATTTGATTGGATAGTGACTATCTTACAGAATGTTCTAGATGCTTTTATATATTAATTTTTTCCTTTCTCATTTTTAAACCGGTAGATAAACTTAGGTAAAAAGGTTTAAGCTGGTTCAAAGTCATACAACCAGTAAACAGGAGCCCGAGCTGTCCCTCCAAAGTGCATTAATATCTTCAGGTTGACCAACCCATTCTGGTTTGCCGGGGCCTGTCTGGGTTTTAGCACTGAAATCCAGTGTCCCAGGAAAGTGTTAAGGCAAATCAGGCAGTTGATTCCTTGACTCCTACTGCTGCTATTACTGCCTACACTGAAGACTAGAAAAGCCTTGTAAATTATGGAGCAGTTAGGCCATGTTTTTCTTCCTTTTCTAGGTTTAGACGTGATGCGTTTGAAAATCAGTTTATGTGGGTTTTGCAGGAGTCACTTTAAACAATGAGTGATGAAGAATTATATCTATAACTTCACACTGCAGAAGAATGCAAAAGCAAGTGGATCTGAATTCCAGTGTCCACCTGGAACATCTTTTTGGCAATCCCAGAGCCTTGCTTTAGACCACATAACTCAGACTTTGGAACATGAAATGTTGTAGGAGGTGGATGAGGGCAAGACAATCATTGTGAGAGCTAGTGAAAATTCTTACAGTGGAAGCTTGTAGGAGAATTTCATGGAGGAGGGTGAAATGAGAAGGGAGTAAGTTCAGAGGTGACTCATGACAGGGAAGAGGAGTTAGGAGCAACATGCAACCCGGGGAAGCAGCAGCTGAGAACACATGCAGGGATCCTGTATCTGTCCTTCCCAAGTATACCAGGAGGCCCCTGCACAATGGCTCAATGGCTAAATCCTCACCTTGCAAGTGCTAGGGTTTCATATGGGTGCCAGTTCATGTCCTGACTGCTCTACTTTCCATCCAAATACTTTGGGACCCTGCACCTATGTGGCAGACCCAAAGGAGGCTCCTGGCTCAGGATTGGCTCAGTTGTGGCCATTGTGGCCATTTGGGAAGTGAACCAGTGGATGGAAGATCTTTCTCTATATCTCTCCTCATTATAAATCTGAAGTCTTCGCCTTGAACGCACTGGGATCCCACATGGGCGCTGGTTCTAATCCTGGCAACCCTGCTTCCCATCCAGCTCCCTGCTTGTGGCCTGAAAAACAGGAGAGGACGGCCCAAACCTTTGGGACTCTGCACCCGTGTGGGAGACCTGGAGGAGGCTCCGGCTCCTGGCTTCAGATCAGCGCAGCACCAGTCGTTGTGGTCACTTGGGGAATGAATCTTTCGATGGAAGATATTTCTGTCTGTCTCTCCTCCTCTCTGTATATATCAGCCTTTCCAATAAAAACAAATAAATCTTTAAAAACCAAGTATGCCAGGAAGTGATCATCAATAAATGGGAAAAAAATGACATACATTCTCCATGAATTTCTTAATGGGCAAAAGGTTGTTCTGTCTCTCACTCAAATGGTGAATTTTCTCTCCTGTTTTATGTTTTGATATTCCTCAGGTAGATTCCTTTAGGAGCTTCTTTGACAATCGATAAAGGAAATGTAAATGGCAACTTTCTAAAGAAAAGACATAAAGGTGAAAAAAAGCCTGGGAGAGATGGGAAGATCAAGATTTGCTGAAGGTTTGAAGAGAGGTGAAGGGAGGCTTCTTGGGTCAAATCAATCAAATTTAGAACCAGGTTAAAGTGAAGAGAGAATTGCCCGTACTGTGAATAAGTTCAAGTTCTTTTTATTTTAAAGCCAGGAGCACTATATTGAAGATGCTGAAACACAGAGTTGCACAGAGTTGGAGAGATAAAAGATACACCCAGTGGAGTGCATGTCGATATTTTGAAGATTCGTAAGTGCAGAGATACCCAGACAACAACTGAATGTAAGGATGGAGATACCGGATAAAGGGCTAAGGCTGGAACAAAAGTGTGGGGATTATAATTTTGTGGAATCACAGGAAGCAGGCAGCAGAACAGATGCCAGTGGGGGAAATGGAGGTGTGATGAGAACCAGCAGAAAAGGGAGTTCTGGAAACCGGAGGAGGAGGGGTTTGGCTGCTCTGGAAGCTTCATGGCAAAGGAATTTACAAAGTAGAGAGTGAAGAGCAGGGGGAAGACGAGAGGTTGAGATGAAGACATTTGCTTTCTGTAGGAAGAGGAATAGCTGACAGCTCCTCCTCTGTAAAAATCAAGGCCGAGGACCTGAACTCCCTCAGTTGTCCCTGGCTCCCCAACCTGGCTGCTGTGCTCATCTTTCTGCCTTTAGCTCCCAGTACGCCAGCTCTTCTCTCTTCCATCCCCAAGATGGGTCCCACTCCTCTCGTTTTTCAGCTTGTGAAAAAAAGTCCAAGCTTGTGTCACTGGAGAGCGTACACTCTCTCTGAGCTCCCGACAACCCCTATCGATCTTAATCTTTCTCCTCATCTATAATGCTGAGCCCTTGGCATGTCTTTATTGTGGTACAATCCCTGAGTCGTTTATACATCTCACCATTGGACCGCAGTGGTTGCTAGTGAGGAGAACGTGTCTTATTCATCTTTGCCCCGTGTCTAGCACAGCACCTTCTGCAGAACAGGTGCTCATAAACTGAGGAATCGATGAATGCTTAGGTGATTTCATTAACCCTTTGGAGTTGCATCTTAGAGCAGCCCTTTGGGTTGGTTGAGTGAACGAATTTCTAACCTCATCAAGGCTCAGAGATTTACAGTGTTTCGTCTCACCCACCAAGAACCAAGCCTCAAATCTAGGCCTTCTAGGACTCTTCTCTCCACATTCCCCTCCCTCTTCTCCACACATAAGGCATCACTAGGCAGGCTTACAGCATTCTTAATCTCAGCAGCAATATTAAGACTATTGAGTAGTTACTACACACCAGATGTGGATCCAAGTGTAGTATCTCTTTAATACTCACAGCAACCCTAAAAGACAAGTACTATTTATTAACTCAAGTTAATCGATAAGGACATAGTGACTTAGAGAAATTAACTAATGTTCTTAAAGCGAGGCAGATATTAAACAAGAGAACTGGAATATCAGCTTAGATTTGTTAGGAGCTAAAGACAGAGTTCATTTTCAATGTCAGCTTTACTTGCCTCCAACTTCTCTGGAACTCTCTTGTCTCCTCACCGTGCAGCTTGTAGTGGTCTCCAATGAGATCACAGCTTGCTGTGGCTTTGGTTTTGTCCCTGAAGAGGCCAGTGCCCAGCTCCAAGGCATTGGCCTTTGAGACTGAGGGGTAGGGATGGATAATTAGACCTATTCCTGGGGGAGGAGAGGGTGCTGGGTCATTTCTTGGGGCCTGAAGGAGGAAACAAATGAAAGCCCAGAAGCACCTGTTTGTCCCCTAGGGTGACTCAGTGGGAGAGCAACTGGGTGGAGGCCACAGTGATTAACATTCTCATCTTTGTGACTCTTGGTGTTCCTTACAGAGCAGTCACCTCTGTCAAGGGATTTCTCCCTTTGCACATGAGTTAGTAGAGGCTCAGAAACAACATCAGGTGTCAAGTCCATTCTAGGGCACTAATGGCAGAAACGGGGTATCAGTGACTGGGAAGACCTGGGGCTCAGCAGAGGGGAAGGGGGTTGTTGCTTCTGGGCATTATGTGGATACTCAAGGGTCACTCAAAACCTGCAAATGGAACGTGGGTGATAGGCAGAGAGACCAGTGGCCAAGACAGAGACCTGCTTTAGGGGCAGTAGATACCTGCATGTGCATGCTTATGTGTGCGTGTGTGAAAGTGCTGGCATGTGGAGGCTGCAGGACCCACACATGTACTGGCATGCTGGGGTTGGTGAAGTATTTGCTTCCTCAGAGAGGGCAGCTCAACCTGCAGCAGGGCAGGTAATGTTATACCACTCCACAAATGGCATCAGATGCTATAGCAGGACCCTCTCACTCTCCTTTCTAGTGGTAATACTGTCTTTGTTACATGTTTTGTTTCTACATTAATTATGAGCCTGCAACATTTTTTTT